CCAAGCTGATTAAGCCACAAGGCCAAGGCCTGGGGGTTTGGTGCAGACAAATCGGGAAATACCCAGATGGCAGCTTTCCTGTTTGGCGGGGGAGCACCAGACAGGCCCCCCAAAAGTCCTCAGGAGAATCAGTCAGCTTAGGAGAGTTCTGTCGTAGTCCTCACTAGAAGTTGGTCACAGGGGCTAGCTTCTCCTAGGCTTGTAGCTTGGCAAAGGACCCACCTCAGATTCTTGCAGAAGGTTGTCATATGTCAAGCCAGTGTGCCTGTACTTTTAAGACAGAGATGGGGAACCTGCAGCCTTCCAGATGTTGGACTCTCAACTCTCATCACACCTGGCTACTGGCCATGCTGTCTGGGGTTGATGGAGTCCAGCAACCTCTGGAGGGCCATGGTTTCTCAATTGTCTCCGTTGTTTACATTTTTCTTCTGCAGAACATAATTGCTGCATCCTAAGCATGCAAAGGGACGCGGGTGGTGCTGTGGGTTAAACCACAGAGCCTAGGACTTGCCAATCAGAAGGTCGCGGTTCGAATCCCCGCGACGGGGTGAGCGCTCGTTGTTCTGTCCCTGCTCCTGCCAACCTAGCAGTTCGAAAGCACATCAAAGTGCAAGTAGATAAATAGGTACCGCTCCAGCGGGAAGGTAAACGCACTGCTCTTGTTCGCCAGAAGCGGCTTAGTCATGCTGGCCACATGACCCGGAAGCTGTACGCCGGCTCCCTCAGCCAATAAAGCGAGATGAGCACCGCAACCCCAGAGTCAGCCATGACTGGACCTAATGGTCAGGGGTCCCTTTACCTTTACCTTTTAAGCATGCAAAGAAATGGAGGGGCAAAGGAACCTGTGGATCACCAGGCTGGAAGGCAAAGCAATTTCAGCTATAAGATTCAGTTTAAAAAACAAAAAACACTGCCTGCATTTTAATATTTGGCAACCCAAAACTTTGCTGACGCACTGCAGACATCTGAGGACATCAGTACTTTTTAAGATACTGGTGAGGTGGTTTGCCCTACACTGCCAAGTTGCAGCATAGCATCTGGGAGTCAAGGTTGGATGAGACAACACCTTTATCCTTCAGGAGAATCACACTGGAGAGTCAGCCTTTGTTGCAAAAATGCCTCAGCAGCACACTCTGCAAGAGGCAGAGGTAGGAATATTCAGCATCAAACTTGCATTGCTGCGAAAGCCAGCGCTGCCACAATTCACAGCAGCATTCATTCTGCCCTACATCCGAAATACTTTGTCCAAATATGCATAGCTTGTAGTGGCAGACTGCTAGGCATGTGTCCCATTCAAGCATAGCTGATCCGTGATGCCTCTGCCTCGATGGGAACGTGGCACATGCGAAAAAGGATTTACAAAACACTAAAGGGCTGTTTCTCCTGGCCTTGGGTGGCAGAGGTTCCTGGCTCGTCCCCACAAGAGAATCTCAACACTTCAGCTCTCAACAGCTGAAATGTGAACTCCTGAACTCCCGACAGCTGTGTGTTCAAGCCGTTAAAATGGAATTAGCTGCATGCACACAGGCTTGGGAAACCAACACAGACCTTTGACTGTACATTTCCCTCCTGCCTTAGCAAAAGCAGTGCCATGATCACAGCTCTGCAAATGGCAGCTGAAATCAGGAAAGCCTAACTCCTGTGCTCTTCCAGGATGTGGAACCTGTGGCCCTCCAGATGGGACTGGACGTCAGCTTCCAGCCACCAATATCCACTGGTGAGGGAGAACGGGACTTTTTCATCAAACCATACTTGGAAGGCTTGTAAGTGCAACATGCCTGCTCTGTGACAACCAAGCAGATGTCCGTTCCTTGCCTAGAGCAATTCTGTGCCTCTGGGAACAATTCAGATAATTCAACCTTTTGGGCATTTCTCAGCAGCCTTGCTTTTTCCATTAATAGAACAGGTGGATTCAGGTTATGGCTGGTGCCATGACGGACATCTGGGCCTGCAACTCTTATGAATAAGCTAGTCAACAGTAGAAGCTGGCCCATACTAAGATCACATTATCTTTTGTGATCAAATCAGAAATCTGGGCTGTGGAGGTATGGGCAAATCAGAGTCTCATTGTGCAGCCAGGTGAATTTTGCCAGACACCCTTCAAGCTTTGTTCTATGTGCCTCGATACTGCTGAGAAACTCCCTATTTTCTTGCAGGGCCAAATCAGACAGTGTAGGCAGGCTTGCAGGTGCTTCCAGATGTTGCTCTTTTGCAGGTGGGATTAAATCACACGCCAGGAAATTCTGGTTATGTGATTAAAGTGGGTTTGGCAATCTTGTGCAACACACCTACTAACAAAACAAAACAACACTTTTTTTCCTTTTTTTGCTGTAAAGGAAAGTGACTCAAAAAGGCACGAAGTGTGTGGAATGGCAATCGCTTGAGGTGACTCGTGGCATCACCTTCCCCACACGCGAATCAGAATGAATGCTCAATAAACGGCCGGGGTATACCCTGCCGACTTTGTGCAAACAAATAAGGATTGATGATAAATAAACGAGTCGTCTGCAACTGAAGCAACTTGGGTAACATGGGGTACTTTTTTAAAGCAGGAAAAGCTGCTGTGTCCAGAAGGGTAAAAGAAACAGGAGGAGGTGTGCATGTGTATGTGCTTAACACTTTCATTGCTGGCCAAGGATCTGTTCTTCAGATGTTCAACTCCCATCATCCCTTGCTGGCAGAGGCTTATGGGAGCTGCAGTTCCAACAATACCTAGAGAGCCACATATTCCCTCCCACTGCCTTAATGAGAATTCCAAGGGGACTAAAGAGGCTTCAAGGTCTGCTGTGCCTCTGCTGGTGTTTATATCCTCCCACAACTATGAACACATGTCACTTACAGGACAACAAAGCCAGAAAACAACAAGCTTGTAGGATATTTGTGCAATTGTTCTGAACTTTAGAAAAGGAAAGGACAAGGAAAAATAGAATCGTTGCTTACACTGAATAACACTAATGATAATACTTAGTATTTATAGAGCGCTTTTTCAAAGCGCTTTACATTACCTTGAAATCCTTACAACATCCCTGTAAGGTAGGCCAGTACTGTTATTCCCAAAATTAGAGAAAAGAAAGAGGGCTCCCAAGAACTGAGAGACAGCAGCTCACCAAAGGCCAACCAGCAAATTCGTAGCTCAGCTGAGATTTGAACTGGGGCCTTCTGGCTCATAGCTCATGCTCTGAACCATTATGCTCGAGCACAGACTTGCAGGAAGTGATAGAAAATGCAGCACACAACCACCTTGCTAGAAATTGGGTTTTCTTGGCACTTCCTAGGCCTGCTTGCTCCACCTGCCCCTCAGATTCTGGACACACAAACACACCTTGTGGTGCCCACTGCCGAGAGCACCAGGACCCCACAGCCAAGACAACTCTCCAGTAAACAAAAGGACTTTGTCTTAGCAGCTCCTTCCAAAATAGTAATCATCATCATAATCAGCACAAATATTACATTTACCTCCCACGAGATGGGAGATCTGATTAAAAAGAAGAGGAACACCTGAGACGTTATTGCTAAGAATGAAGCCAACTGGCTGTCCAGCAGCCCAGTAAACTTCTGGCACTGGGAGCAGGGAAAGAAGAGGAGAACACAGACGGGGTGTGCTTCTTCGAAATGACATGCCACAGCCAGACCCGCTGGGCCTCCTGAACCCTCCATTCTTGCTCATTCAAGCAGTCCTGGAGCTGCAGAAATTACAATACCTGCCCTGCCCCCCCCCCACCAAAAAAATCCCTAGTCATCAGGTCAGGACTGTATGAAAGCTTCCATTTCCCACAGACACACTCACGAAAATACATACAACGGTGTCACCCCAGGGCATTCTGGGAAATTTCGACAGCATCTTCCAGAGGTGCCGGCCCAGCCTCTGTCACTGATCCAAGCACCGCCACAGACAGATAAACCCACTCGGGCCCTTTACATCTGCACCACACATGTAAAGCACTTTCATACCACTTTATAGGATTCCTCCCTAAAGGAACATGGGAACTGTGGTTGGTTAAGGGTGCTGAGAGTTGTCGGGAGACCCCTGTTCCCCTCACAGTGTTACAATTACCCAGAATTCCTAGGGGAAAGGGATTGTTAAACAGCTCTTAAGAACAGTAACTCTATAAGAAGAAGGAGGGGCCTTAGTCCTATTCTAGTGCTCGAACTACAGTTCCCAGGATTCTTTGGGGGAAGCCACAACTGCTATCATAGTTCTGAAAAGTATTTGGTGCGGGTGTGGCCTAGGACTGCCAGTAGTCCCCCTGTCAGATGTGGGGGGCTCCCATCAGAATGCAGCCCCTTCAAACCTGGAACAGTCATAGAATCATAGAATCATAGAGTTGGAAGAGACCACAAGGGCCATCGAGTCCAACCCCCTGCCAAGCAGGAAAGTCCCTAGGTATAAGAACATGTTCCTTTAATGCAGTGCTTTTCAAACTGTGTGCTGAGGGACCCAGGCGTTCCCTCAATAAGAAGATCAAGCGTGGCTAGAGGATGGCCTTCCTTTCCCTGCAAGTTGCTGGCACGTGGATGCAATTTCCTGGTGCAATTCCAAGATGTTGCTATCTGAAGCCAAACACAAAGGGCTAACACGCCCCCCTGCCTCCATCTACCCCACCCCCACCCCCAGCTAAATTCTGCCCCCTCCCCAAGCAGCTCCTCTGGCTTGCTGCACAGTCGCCACACTGAGCCCTGAGACCAGTACATGTCACCCGAGATGACCCAGGAACATGCACCGAAATCTTTACACGGCACTCAAAGTGGTCCTCTGGAAGATGTGAAGGAACGTTCCCGGCAGGCCAGACCTCAAGGAAAGGGTTCCCAGAAAGCAGGAAGTTTGCAAAGCAACGCCCTTAAACCCCAAGAGGGTCCCAGATCCCTTAACGTCCCACAGGCAGGGCCCACTTCCTCCTGAAAGGACTGTTCCCAAAGTGGTCTGCTTGCTCTGTATTCAAAGGCCACACACTAGCTCACACACTCGTTCATTCATTCAGTCTGTGCTGGAGAGGCCTTTTTCATGTGGCCTCAAGTCCACCTTGGAGAACTTTGCTTGCGAAGACAACCAGCTTCTTCAGCATAGTCCTCACTTTCACGGGCCAGGATCCTGGCTTCTCGGTGATCCAGTGGGGCTTCTCACAGCTACCCATCAGGGTTCTTCCGATGTTCTTAACTGCTCCCTGGATTTCTGCCTCCATGGTTCTACCCTTGGCCAACTCTCCCAGTTTGTCCAGGGCAGTAGCACTGATGGGAGCAGACAAACCCTCTCCCCCTGCCCCCAACCACAGCCCAAGTCATCTATACAAGCCATTCAAGGCTTCCATGGCTAGGGATGCAGAGGCTGACTCCAAGCCTGCATATGAATTGGCCTCTCAAGGGCTTGGGGTTCAGAGAGCCGCCTTGTGTTGTTGTGCTGCAGAATGACGGAAGGGGGCACGGCCTTGGCTCCACCTGCTTCCGCGGAGAGAGCTGGCGCATCTGCAAAGGGCAAAAACCTCCCCAACGACAAAGAAATGGAGCGATCAGCTTGCTTTATCCCAGCCAAGCCCCCTGTCTCTGCTTCCTCATGTCAGTGCCAGGCTGCAAAGCCCTTGGGTTAAGTGGGGCAGACCCACGTAAAGTGCTTTGAGGGCCACAGTCATATCTGTCCCCAGAAAGTGCATACCCGTGGCATCTTTCCATGAGTGTTCAGGGCCTGCCTGGCATTTCACAGGGTCCCTTAGGTGAACGTTGCTGCAGCGGTTACAGTAATTTTGCAGGGTCACAAGAATTGCTCCAGCAGCATTCCCTGGAAAACAGGAATCCTGTTAGTGCAAGAAGATGGATTCTAATGGAGATGATTTCACTGCCCTGGGCAAAGGATAATTCCGTCTTCCTTCCAAGGCAGAGCTTTTCGCTGCAGCAAAAAAATCCAACCCCAACTTTCTCCTGCTGCCCCTTTCCTCCAGGGGAAAGAAAGCAGCGAGAACTAGCAGCAGTCCAGAGTCCTCCTAGAAGAGAACCCAGCTACTTCTTCAGACCTTGCTAGGATGCATTAGGATGCGAAAGAGGACCAGCCACAACAGTTAGCTGGCGGTAACAGTCAGCCCTTCTGGAGCAAAGCCCCGGGAAGACATTGCAGTTTTGAAATACAAAAGGGAGCCTCAGAGGAAGCCCTGCAGTTCCAAATTTTCTTGCCGCTCTAGAGAGCAAGCTACCCAACGTCTTCAGTGGCTGAAGAGCCTTTGGAAGGTATGGCCAGAGACACCAACAATGGAGACACTATTGCACTGGCAACCCTTGGCAACTCTCACAAGCACCACTGCTGCCCATGTACAGCCAGTTCGGCAGCCGCACAGTCCCCTCTAGATGTTGCTGGACTCCCGCCAACAGCCAGGGACGATGGACGTCATCGCCCAACAACATCTGGAAGTTGCTGCATTGGCTACTGTTGGCCAAGCGTCCCAGTGGGTTGCTGACGGCAGGAAAGCACTTCTAGATTTCGCCACTGGAAGCAGAGAGCTTTGGTCCAGGAGGAGCACAGAGCATGGGGCTCATTTGCTCTGGCTTCACAGCGGGCGTGTTGACTCCTTGGACGCAGCACAGATCTATGTTTGCGGGCACTCTTTTCTCCATTGTTGTCTTTATTGAGCCCACAGTCACCTGTCAGAAACAGACAAAGAGTCCATTGTTAGCAGGCTCTGAACCAATCCTATGGGAAACCTGACTGCCCCACAAATGGCAAGAAAACTTCTCCTGATTTAATGCAGCTCCTTGTTTGTGTGTGTTCAGGGCCGGCCCTAATATTAGGCAGAGTGAAGTGTCTGCTCAATGAAGCTGATGCGAGCCACCATGAAAAGGCATCAAGCTGTTAGTTACTTAATTTTTTACTATTGCATTTTTACTGCTACGAAGAAGGAAGAGGTGCCTATGGCATCACTTGCTCATTTACCTCAGTTATTTGTACACCGCCCTTCATTTCAAAGCAAAATCAAGGTGGTTTACAAGACCAAAAGACAACAGCAATATCTAAAAGGTACCAATTTGTCTGGCCTTGAGTTCTCTGCACCTTAACTCGGAGTGGGAACAAGGGAGATATGTCACAATTTGTTGCTCCACCTCTGCAGCAAAAATATTTTGGACCAGTCTGGCATGGACACATGTGCATTAAAAGAAAGTTCCAGTGTTAATGACTCAAGTCAAAGGACCTTTTTAAGGCAATTAATGATATACATTTAAGGGAACTAAAGCTCACTTGGGGGGAGAGAGGGAAATTCCAGTAATCATCTCAACTCAGTACAACTCAAGTCTTTGTCCATGCCTAACATCTGTGCTCCCACCTCGAGGAATATGATACCACCCACATCCCAGTCCATAAAAGGAAACAAGTCCAGATGCAGAATTGCCATTTGGCAGTGGCAGGAGCAGGATTCAAGTAAACATTCATTGAAATGTGCACAATTTATTCCAGCCAAGAACTGGGATATTCTAACTGCAGAATTGGGATTTTGAAAAGCAGTCTAAGCAGAAGAACAGAATCAGAGAATTGTAGAGTTGGAAGGGACTGCAAAGGCCATATAGTCCAACGCACTGCAATGCAGGGATCTTTTGGCCAACATGGGGCTTCCACAAGTCACCAACTATTAGTAGTAGTAGTAGTAGTAGTAGTAGTAGTAGTAATACTGGCCATGGGCCACGCTTTGCTGCCACTAAAGCTGGTGTCAATTGGCCCTTAAAAAAGAGAGACGTTCACAAGCTACATTAAGCAATGCTGAACCTTTGCTTATAGCAGAAATAGAAAGCCTGTGGGTCCCTCCAGACCTGTCGCTGGACTTCATCTCCCCTCATCCCTGACCACTGGCCATGCACAATGGCAGCTGAAGTCCAAAAGCATCCAGACCACCCCTGCAGGGTCCCCATCCCTTCCTCATGTGGCGACCAAGGGCATCTTTCAATATTGGCATAATGAGAACAGAAAGTTATCCATCCCATCTTCCAGACCCTGAGAAAGGGCTCCTCTGCTGGGCTTTGGAAGGCTCTCCTACCTCCGGGGCACACGCGAGAGATAGTCCCGGTTCAAAGAGCAGAGCTGCTGCTCCAGGCGGAAGATGCGAAAAGCCAGGTAGGAGGAGGAGACCACCAGGAGGCAGATCCTGCGGAAGCAGAGACAAAACGGAGAGGCACCGTTGAGCTCAGAGTCAGAAAACCAACCCGGAGATAGGATAGGAATTGGGGGGGGGGGGTGCCTGCAGGCTTACAAGACAATGAAGATTTTCAGCAGCTGATAATCAGATGGCCTCAACTCTGCTTGGTAGCTCTGCTCCACCTCCAACTCCTCTTCAGTGTTTATTGCACTTTCTGGAATAATAATAAAAAGGCATCAGGAACTCGAATATTAAAACTATATATAATGCAAACACACACACAAACACACAGTGAGATCCAATGCAGCGTGAGTGGGCATCTGCTAGCACAGTGCTGGGGAAAATTTTAGCCCTCCAGGTTGTTGGACTACAATTCCCATCAGCCCCAGCAAGCATGGCCTATGGCCCGGGATGGTGTGAGTTGTAGTTCAGCAACATCTGATGCGGGGACAGGGCAAAAACTCACCATCTCTGCCCTAGCCCAACAGAGCTATTCTCTCCAACCTTTATGCCTTCTATGTCCCTGCAACATCTGCTTTGGAAGGTTAGGAGACACTTGAGATCTGGGGGAATATTTTTGTTGAAGAGTAAGGTAAAGGACCCTTGGACGGTTAAGTCCAGTCAGAAGTGATTATGGGGTTGTGGCGCTCATCTCCCTTTCAGACCGAGGGAGTCGGCGTTTGTCCATAGACAGCTTTCTGGGTCATGTGGCCAGCAAGACTAAGCTGCTTCTGGTGCAACGGGACACCGTGACAGAAACCAGAGCGCACAGAAACACCATTTACCTTCCCACCGCAGCAGTACCTATCTATCTACTTGCACTAGTGTGCTTTCGAAGAGAGGTTTCTTTTCAGATTTTTTTTTTTTTAACTATAGCCAAATGAAATCGCCAGCAGTCCACCAGTGGGCTAGTTCCACACATGCGTGGAGGTTCACCAAATTAAAGATTGGGTAAAACAGCGGTTAGCATACCCATTGCATGGTTTTGGTTACACATTGAACAATACAGAAGGTAGAGATTAATTATATTAAATCCTATCTTTCAGACAGGAATTTGTTTATATATGCAGGACCAGAATATTAAAAAGCCAATCAAAATGTGCAGACAAATATTTGAATTTTTGTTGCTGCAGCTCACCTCCTTCAACAAGCAGTTAATACTGCCTTGCTGCTTTCCTTTGAACGACATGGACACGGGACAAAAATATTTTAGAGATGAAATTTTAAAAGCTATCTATAACAATAAAAGGGGGTTGCATAAAATTGGGCCCACAAAACTGAGTGCACAGCTCCTGGTGGATCCAAGGGCTGCATTTGCAGCTCAGCTGCACACAACTGAGAACACAGCACAGAGACTTAAAGCCGACTATTGCATTTGCGCCTGGGTAGAAACTCCGATTTGCGACTGGTGCTTCTGCCCTGGTGGGAAAGGCTGCTTTGTGGGCTACCCAGCAGCAAAGAGGTGGTAGCCGTCCCTACTGTCGGGCAAAGGTCACTAGGGCTTCAGAAAGCGCAAATAAGTCCCACATGAAGGCTATATGTTTTTGGATAGTAACAACCCGCCATCTAAAACAAAGTTTTGTACAAGAATTCTGAGAAGGAAATGGTTTTGTTTGCATCCATGTGGCCGCTGACGGGATGAACTGCCCCGGGCATCTGAAGCGAAATGGAAGAGCATGAACAAAGAGCATGGCCATCTGTGCGCAGCCGACACATGGATGCACTCAGGAGGGACGTGATGGGGCGGCTGGCATGACGGAGATTACATGGGGCAATAGAGATGCAGCTTATGTCCTTGGGACAGCTGAACAGTCGGTGCTGCTGCCAGGACAGCTGTTAGATCAGGCGGGGCAAAGGAAGCTCTGCCTGAGAGTCCGCAGATTGTTCCCTATTGAAGGAGAATTACATGAAGATGATGTACAGATGGTACACAACACCAGTGCAGTTAGGGAAAACGTACAAAACTAGTTCAAATATATGTTGGAAGTGTAAGGAAAAGGAGGGGACATTTTATCTTATGTGGTGGGATTGTAAGGTAATTAAAAAATTTTGGGAAATGATATACAACAAATTGAAGAAAATGTTCCATTTAACATTTTTTAATAAAACCAAGGCATTTTGGGGGGGATTGTAGGGAAAGACCTGCCAAAAAAGTTGAAAAACATTTTAATGTATGCGACAATGGCCACGAGAGTTCTGGTAGCACAAGGATGGAAGACTGAAGAAACCCCAACTAAAGAATCATGGCAAGAAAAATTGATGGACTATGCAGAACTGGCAAAACTGACATATAAGCTACAGGACAAGGATAACTGTGACTTTAAGGATGAATGGGAACCCTTTACAAAGTATCTGAAGACGCAACAAAGCGAACTGGACTCCTTGGCAGTTTTTGAATAAACATTCACAAACTTTTTCTTGATAATAATCAGCTAAATAATTTGAGGATCTATACAACTTTGTAACATGCAGAAAACAGCATTCTTAGAGAAACCAAAGACTGGAACTGAGGGAAGTCGGGGGGTGGGGTGGGGGTGGGTGGATTTTGTGTGGGAGGGGGGAGGGAGGAAAAATGGGGGGGGGAACAAGGATGATATGTTTTTGGATAATATGTCCTGTTATAATTTTGAATAAAAATAAAAATAAAAACGAGAGAGTCCGCAGGTGCCAGACAAAAAACATGCAGCGGCACCAAGGGCCTTTCCCCAGACTCCTGCTGTCCCGTACCTGAGACTAGGGGCTCCTCCGAGTTACAAGAGCTCTCCTTTGTGCTGAGGCTGCTGATAGATGCCCGGTGGATGCACTGGAAGCCTGCATCTGGGAGGGCCAGGGACAACGAAGCCGGCGAGCCCTTCCTCCACTTCACTTCTGGGACAATCACCTCCTGTGGAAGGCATGGAATGCGGGTTAGTTGGCTCAGGAAGGAGCCCCGATCTTTCACTGCCTTGTCAACCTACAGGCAGAGCTAACACAGCAAGAGGTTTGTCAACAAAGCCGGCTAGGCTAGTTCTTCCCAGTGCAACACTGCCCCCTCCTGGACATTGTGAGCCTTCTCCTTGGGGAGAAGTCATCGCTCAGTGGCAGAGCACCAGTTTTGCATGCAGATAGTCCCAAATTCAATCCCTTAAAGAAGGTGCCCTTCAGTACTTTGAGGCAATGCAGGTAGCCAAGCTTAGAGGCCCAGCTTTAGTAGTTATAATTTATGCCACTAAACGTGGTTCAGAGATAGCAGCAGTTGGCAGGCTCACCCGTGCAAATCAAGTATGCTGCTAATTGGGTTGCAGCCAACTAAAATTCTACTCAAAGGAGACCCACTGAAATCAATAGGTCTATGTCAATTATGCCCGTTTATTTCAATGATTCTACGCCGAGTAATACTAATGTTGGATACAACTCAGTATATTTAACTTAGCACTGCATTGGATACAACTCATAATGTATATATACAGCATACCCAGACAGTATGGGTCATAATCCCATGTTGGTCCTACTCATGAGTAGACCCATCGAAATTAATGGATCTAAGAGAGGCTTGTTCACTAACTTTAGTGGGTCTGTTCTGAATAGGACTAGCATTGAATACCGTCGTAAATATTCTTACTATATCCAGATAGTATGTCTTGATAGTATATATTGTAGAATCATAGAATCATAGAGTTGGAAGAGACCACAAGGGCCATCGAGTCCAACCCCCTGCCAAGCAGGAAACACCATCAGAGCACTCCTGACATATGGTTGTCAAGCCTCTGCTTAAAGACCTCCAAAGAAGGAGACTCCACCACACTCCTTGGCAGCAAATTCCACTGTCGAACAGCTCTTACTGTCAGGAAGTTCTTCCTAATGTTTAGGTGGAATCTTCTTTCTTGTAGTTTGGATCCATTGCTCCGTGTCCGCTTCTCTGGAGCAGCAGAAAACAACCTTTCTCCCTCCTCTATGTGACATCCTTTTATATATTTGAACATGGCTATCATATCACCCCTTAACCTCCTCTTCTCCAGGCTAAACATGCCCAGCTCCCTTAGCCGTTCCTCATAAGGCATCGTTTCCAGGCCTTTGACCATTTTGGTTGCCCTCCTCTGGACACGTTCCAGTTTGTCAGTGTCCTTCTTGAACTGTGGTGCCCAGAACTGGACACAGTACTCCAGGTGAGGTCTGACCAGAGCAGAATACAGTGGCACTATTACTTCCCTTGATCTAGATGCTATACTCCTATTGATGCAGCCCAGAATTGCATTGGCTTTTTAGCTGCCGCGTCACACTGTTGACTCATGTCAAGTTTGTGGTCAACCAAGACTCCTAGATCCTTTTCACATGTACTGCTCTCAAGCCAGGTGTCCCCATCTTGTATTTGTGCCTCTCATTTTTTTGCCCAAGTGCAATACTTTACATTTCTCCCTGTTAAAATTCATCTTGTTTGTTTTGGCCCAGTTCTCTAATCTGTCAAGGTCGTTTTGAAGTGTGATCCTGTCCTCTGGGGTGTTAGCCACCCCTCCCAGTTTGGTGTCATCTGCAAATTTGATCAGGATGCCCTTGAGTCCATCATCCAAGTCGTTGATAAAGATGTTGAATAAGATGTTGTGGTATGGTATGGTTTGGACCTAGGTAAAGGTAGAGCAGGGGTAGGCAACCTAAGGCCCGTGGGCCAGATGCGGCCCAAACGCCTTCTCAATCCGGCCCGCGGATGGTCTGGGAATCAGTGTGATTTTACATGAGAGGAATGTGTGCTTTTATTTAAAATGCATCTCTGGGTTATTTGTGGGGCATAGGAATTCGTTCATCCCCCCCCCCCAAAAAAATAGTCCGGCCCACCACATGGTCTGAGGGACAGTGGACCTGCCCACTGCTGAAAAAGGTTGCTGACCCCTGAGGGAGAGGATCCCTGGACGGTTAAGTCCAGTCAAAGGTGGCTATGGGGTGCAGAGCTCATCTCGCTTTCAGGCTGAGGGAGCCGGTGTTTGTCCACAGACAGATTTCTGGGTCATGTGGCCAGAGGACTAAACTGCTTCTGGTGCCATGGGACACTGTGACGGAAGCCAGAGCACATAGAAATGCTGTTTACCTTCCCACCCACCCATTTATCTACTTGCACTGGCCTGCTTTCGAACTGCTAGGTTGGCAGAAGCTGGGACAGAGCAACGGGAACTCATCACCATAGTGGGGATTCAAGAGAACATCTTACCAGTGAAACCGTGTCAGGCTCTTCAGTCAGTTCCTTCAAGCTCAGGCTCTTTTTGCTTGAGACCTGCAGAGAGAATGAGGCATGAACAGATGAGTTTCTCTACGGAGGCGCCACTCGCTTTAAGGGTCTCCGGAAGGATGTGCAAACGAACCGAAGGGCAGTTTCTCGTGGGCTGGATCCTGAAGCTTCAACCACTCCCTCTGCGCCCCCAAGAGCTGACTGAGCAGCCTGTATTGCATCACCAGTTCTCAGGGACTGTAAGCCTCTTGTCATGACCTAACCCCACATATCTCTCTTAAGACTCGTAGCATTTTAACTATTAGCCACATTGGGAAAATACCAGCATCGTTCCCCTTCTGCACCCAAGGCTGTGCTGTGTCTACAGACTATATAGTGTATGTAATAAACCTGGACCAGAAAGCCGTGTGAGTAACACTGCTAGTTCTCTAGCTGCAGTGATAAACCTTGACATCACGTCTCTCATTACTGCCCTTCTTTTTAAAATTAGCAACCAGGGAGAGCTGATCCAGATCAGGACCAGAGAGCGGGAGGGTTGACTTTTCCCTCTGTCCTATTTCCCTGCCCAAAATCACCCCCCTCTCAAAGCTGCCATTCCACACATGCACCAGATGAAACCACCTCAAATACTGATTTAATTCCCAGGCAGATCACTGAGTAGGACCGGTAACTTCAGAACGGGTCTGTCTAGCTTAAATGAGGGGCACAAACTATTTCATGGCACAGTGTCTAGCAGGCTTAACAAAAGTCCTCGTTGTTTCTTAAGAGAAAGTCATGGAAAGTTGCCTTTGTTCTGAGTTATACTTTTTTGTATTTTAACTGGTCTCTGTATTATTGCACCAAAAATCCAGTAAGAAATAATTGAAAGAAAGCCATGCTGAGCTCCTGAACTGAGAGGTCCATAGCTCAGTGGCGGAGCACATGCAACTCCAGGAGTGGGGGAAACCTCAGCAAGGTGACCTAATGTGGCCCTCCAGGCCTCTCCATGTGGCCCTTAGGGATCTCCTTAGATCACAAACACCCTTCTCCCAGCCCTGCACCATGACTTTCCTGAGCACTGTTTCCTGGCTGACATGGATCCTTGAACCATGCCTCTGGAGACAGGATGTGTGTGAGCCGAAATCTGACTTATTACTGTAGCTGCAGTGCTGGCTGCTCTACAAGGTGCTGCAATGAATTGGTTGCTCCACCCACTCGTGCCTCTGGCCACACAAACCATTTGAATGGCTACGGCAATTAACTTGGGGGGCAACCCCCTCAAATCTTTTATTGGGGGGACCAAAGGGACCTCGGCTCCTAGGAGTTGGCTCCTATGCCCCCCCAAATGTCCACGAGGCAAAAAACGGCTGGAAAGGGTTCCCCATTCCTGAGTTAGGAGGACCAGAGATCGGAAACTCCTTTTATTAAGACTCCAGAGAGCCACTGCCACGCACAGCCCTGTGGTTCCATCTACACCATGAATTTAAAGCTCCTGGCTTCCCCCAAATAATCCCTGGAACTGTAATTTGCCCCTCACAGAGCGGCAATACACAGCACCCTTAGCAAACTACAGTCATGTGCTTTAAATGGGTGGTCCGGTGGTTTGACTGTTGTAAACAAAATAATAAATTTAAGGTCGTCATATATATATATATATATATATATATATATATATATATATATAATAAATGTTCGTAAATGTACCAACCAAGCACAAACATAGATATGTGGACCACATGTCTGGAGCAGCACAGGAAGACTGTCCTGAAACCTTTGTGATTCCCAAACTGACCAAATGTTTTCTCTTCAAGGAGGGAGGGCAGGAATTGGGTAATCACCATTTCAAAGGAATGGGCAGACTACCAGGAAAGGCAATCAGATAAGGCATTATCAGATAACCTGGCAGACAGGAAAAACAACAACATTCAAATTTCTGTTATAGACCACCTTTTCTGTGATGTAGGTATGATGTTTGTGGGCGGTGGTCTTGGGTTACACACCTTCTGTGATGTATGTATGATGTATGGAGGGGTGGTCTTGAGCTCCAGGACAGGGAATTTAAAATGTCTATATAAGGGCAGACACACCTTGGTTCTGGGTCCTCCTCCGTCCTCCTGCATGTGAGGGGAGCACCCTGTTGCAACAGCTTTAATAAAGATCAGGCTTACTAGCTGCTTTGTTTCTCAATATTCTCTGGTTGGCCTCTGTTATTTTCTCCTACCAATAAGGAACCCACGTAAGGACTCTATACGGGCTCTTGGATACCCCATAAGGGCAAAAGGGCAGATTTTGTTTACAACATGACTTTGGTGCAAAGCAACTCCATGCACTCACATGGCCATCAAGGGCAAAGTTGGAAAAGGAATATTTGTCCTTCAGAAGGCGTTTTAAAGTGTCTCCCGTGCATTCTGTCGCCCAGCTAGCATGCTTTTGTAGTCATGAAAGGCCTGGCTGTATTTCAAGAAAACCTCAAAACAAAAGCCTCATCCAGACAAACAAAAGGAGAGTTTTCCCTGAACAAAAACACCCTAGGACTGCTTGGGAGGAGCTTGGGGCAGGGGGCTGATCCTAAGATCCCAGTAAGACGATCTGCCCCTCTGCCACAACACCAGCCAGAAATAGATCCAGCTGAAGCTTGTGAGGAGAGTTATCTAATTCACGTCCTATGACTACTGATTGTGAAGTGAGGAAATGGCAAAGTGCCCGTCTGAGAGACAGGCCGGCTAAGAAGCAAGGAGGGAAGGACAAAATGTTAGCCAAGTGCCCCCCCCTTTCTGCCAGCCGAGCAAGGAACGAAATGTACTCCAGACAAATCAGACAGGCTTTTAGAGCGTTAATTGCCTAGTTACCTACCAAAAGCAGACCTTCAGGCCAGTGCAACCCAAACATTGGGTTGTTAAGGCATCCCGCAAGATGCCATCTCCACCAACTCCTGATTCTCTCTCAAGATTACAGGACTCTCTGTGTTCTCTGGGTATCATGAGAGGGAAGTGGGGGAAGAGTCTTGGGACAAAACCTGAGTTTTAAAATAGTTGTTTTTGCTTCTGCAAAGTGATCCCCACTCACTTTTTACCCAGGATGGAGAGAGATAGCTGCCTCGTATGCACGGGGCTCACAAATGCAAACTTACGAGGAGTGGCAAATAGACAAAAACAGCCTTTAGTTGGCCCTTCAAATATTTGTTGGACTCCCATTCAGTGTGGATAATGGTTAGGGGTAATGGGAGGTATCCTGCGACAGCAGGTCTCCCAGCTCTGCTTAATCGAAGTGCCATGCTTTCAAAGCTAGCCCTTCTATTAGACAGAGGCAACTCACCTTGGGCAACAGTTTTGGGGAAGCCATTAATGTGGAAACTCATGTGTAAGATTTTTTTAAAACCCCATGGCTATAATGACTGCAAAAGGGCTACATGCAGTAATTGATCCCTACTCAGTAACCTCTCCTTTTATTTTCAAATCCTGTAACTTTTTGAATCCTATATAACATTTATAACAAAGCACTGATTTTGGTTTTTAAGTTTTTACAAAATTGTTGCTTGGGAAATCAAATTAACGACAATACCACAATTCAGAATATACAGTAACTCTGTAAATCCAAAACCATCAAATAACAGAAATGGTTTTTGGGTTTTTTAAGGTATGGTATAATAAGAAGGGTTTTGCCTGGCAACGGAAAGGATAGCAGGGAGAGATTTCCATACCTGGGGGTGCCACCACCAAGAAAACCCTCTCCCTTCTTGTTGCCACCAGCCTCTCAACTTAAATGGCAGGACCCCCAAGGACCATCGCAACGGACAGGCTTTTAAAAGCGAGCTCCTCCATAGCCTGGATCTTTTGACCCTTTGCTGAGAGCAGCTGACCAATTCTTTTAAGTGATACCATGAGGGCTGTCAGGGAGGGAGTGGAAGTACCTGCAAGTGGGTGCAGACTCTCCGCAGCACATCGTACACACTGTCTCTAGAGATCAGGGACACGAAGATGTACTGGAAACAAAACAAAAATCAGGAGCAGTGAATAATCATGGTGCAAGCAGCAAAGTTTGAAGCACGGCAGCTGGCCAGGCTGATTCAGCATTTGCACGTTTAAAGACAAAGACACACACACACACGGATATTAACATGCCCCCTTCAAAGGGCACTTGCAAAGAACTGGTAAGCCTGCAAACTTTTCAAGCGCCAAACATTTCAAGCGCTATGATATCACTTTGACCTGTCATGGCTTCCCCCAGAGAATCCTGGAAGGTGTAGTTTGTTAAGGATGCTTTGTTAGGGGACTCCCTATTCCCCTTGCATACCTACAATTCCCAGAGTGCCTTAATAATCAATCCCTCTTCCCAAAGAACTCTGGGAATGGTTTCTCACTGAGTCCTAACAACTCTCAGCACCCTTAACAAACTACACTTCCCAGGATTCCCCGGGGGAAAGCCATGACAGGTTAAAGCATGGGTAGGCAAACTAAGGCCCGGGGGCCAGATCTGGCCCAGTCGCCTTCTAAATCCGGCCTGCAGGTAGTCCGGGAATCAGTGTGTTTTTACATGAGTAGAATGTGTGCTTTTATTTAAAATGCATCTCTGGGTTATTTGTGGGGCATAGGAATTCATTCATTTTCCCCCCTTCAAAATATAGTCCGACCCCCCACAAGGTCTGAGGGACGGTGGACCGGCCCCCTGTTGAAAAAGTTTGCTGACCCCTGGGCTAAAGTGGTGTCATAGTGCTCTGGTGGAGAGAAGACCTTATTTATTCTATTTTTAATGGTGCCTTTCACACAGGGAGCTCAGGGAACATGCTCCCCTCTATTTTATCCTCACAACAACCCAAGTAGCAATAGGCCCATGACTACCTGCCACCTTCGTCACCTACCCCCAAGGGACCGTTGTAACCAGCTGCCCTGCAAGGACATCACCAGGGCTCACTGAGCCTGCGATGAGACTCCGGCAGACCCAGCAAGGCTCCAGAAGCAAGGCTGCATTACGCCAGGCCTCCTGGGGCCTCTTTCTGAAATGCCAGCAGCCCGCCCGCAATGGGTGGCTTGAAATGGAAGCCACGCATGCATCTGGAAGAGTTTCATGGGTTTCAGTTTTGGAAAACCCATCAGGCGGCTGCCAAAATAGCAAAAGTTCATTTAGCCGTGGTGAACATGCCTAGTTCGAAAAACCACATTCCATCCACCCCTGCTCTTCTAGGGTTTCAACCAGAGGCGTTGCCTTCATTTCCTGTGCTCAAGTTGCTGTGCAATTTTATGGACATTGTTTCATGTTATTTATTCTGAATCATAAGCTATTGCCACAAAACTTAACTTTTTCTTAATCGAAAGGCAGGGTTAGAATGTTTTAAAACCAGGGATGGGGGACCTGTGTCCCGTCAGTTGTTGTATGGCAGGCATAGGGAACCTCTGGTCCTCCAGATGTAGGTGGACTACAACTCCCATGAACCTCAGAAAGCACAGACAGTTCAGGAACATTTGGAGGAATAATAATAATAATAATTTTTATTTATACACCACCCTCCCTGGCCAGAGTTGGGCTCAGGGCGGCTAACACCAGTAAAATTACAATAAAAACATAATGGTGGGGGGAACCAATTTAAAATACAGGTTAGAATGCAATTTAAAATGCAGCCTCGTTTTAAAAGTAGCCCATAGATCAAAACCGTAAGGGGAGGGAAACATAAGGGCCAGACTGAGTCCAAACCAAAGGCCAGGCAGAACAGCTCTGTCTTGCAGGCCCTGCAGAAAGATGTCAAGTCCCGCAGAGCCCTAGTCTCTTGTGACAGAGCGTTCCACCAAGTCAGGGCCAGTACTGAAAAGGCCCTGGCCCTACTTGAGACTGATATAACCACCTTGCGACTTGGGACCTCCAGAGTGTTGTTATTTGTGGACCTTAAGGTCCTCCGCAAGGCATACCAGAAGAGGCGGTCCCATAGGTACAAGGGTCCTAGGCCGCATAGGGCTTTAAAGGTCGAAACCAGTACCTTAAACCTGACCCTGTACTCCGCCGGGAGCCAGTGCAGCTGGTACAGCACCGAGTGGATGTGATCCCGCGGCAAGGACCCCGTAAGGAGCCTCACCGCGGCATTCTGCACCCGCTGGAGTTTCTGGGTCAGCTTCAAGGGCAGCTCCGTGTAGAGTGAGTTACGATAATCCAGCCTGGGGATGACCGTTGCATGGATCACTGTGGCCAGATCAGGGCGAGAAAGGTAAGGGACCAACTGCTTAATGCGGCGGAGATGGAAAAATGCCACCTTTGCTGTGGCTGCAATCTGCGCCTCCATGGAAAGGGAGGTGTCGAAGGTTACACCCAAGCTCCCTGCCCCAGCTGTAGTACTACAGTTCCCCAAATCCCTGATGCTGGCAGGGTGGGCGTTGGGAGTCCCAAGCCTGTTTTAAACGAATAAACATTGTGAGCGCCTGCTCTCACCGGAGAAGGATGCCACATTTGTAGTAGTTCCATCTGCCTTTTCCCCTGCCTTCTGTGCTCTGAGCACCCTTCTCACACACACCCTGTCCAAGAAAGGGTGGCAAACTAGTACCACACTTGGCCACAGGGAGCAGGTGGGTACATTGTGCATGAACAGGCTGAAGATGGGAGCTCCAGCTCCAGCTTCCTCATCTCAAACATGGTGTCAACTGAACTCAACATGGCACAAGATTTGAGGAAGGATCGATATCAAGGTGATGTAAGGAGGACCATCAAGAGGGTGTGCTAGCAGAACCAAAGGTGAGGAAACAATGACCGCAGAAGCGCTGGCAATCCTTTCATGTGGGGCAGGGATGGGCAGGCTGTGGCCCTTCCAGAAGCTGGATTACAGCTCGATTCATCCTTGGGCCATGCTGCTTGGGGCTGATGAGTCAACATCCAGGGAGCCACAGGTTCTCCATCCCCAATGTGACACAAGGAGTAAAGGGCACTAGATAATAATTAACTACGCAGCAGGTTCTTACACACAAACAAAAAGAATATACAGTTTAAGTACTGAGTGGGAAATTGTTGCCTCCAGACCTAAATGCCAAGGACATGAAGTGGGTGGGGGGGAATTGCATGACACATCTAAGGCGAACAGATTTATTTGCATCATAAGCTTTCACCAGCAAAAGTCAATGGGTGCCTCAAGTGCACTAGAACCTGCTAGCTGCTGACGTGGAGCCTACTAGACTCTGCTGAAACAACCAGCAACTTCCCGTTCCTTTCCGAGTTGATGTAACCCATGAAGAGGGCAGGCTGGGACTGAACCCAACATCGTACAGGGACACGATTCGCACCGGGGGAGTTCTGAAGGGCTGGGTGGAAATGTGGAGAGGTCTTGATTTGCGCTGCAGACCCAAGGCTCAAAGCCAGGGAGGCTGATCTGTGGCCTTCCAGAGGCTGTTGGACTACGACTCCCATCATCCCTAGCTGTCGGTCATGAAGGCTGGGTCTGATAGGTGCTGGAACACAACAACGCCTGGAATGTCACAAGCTCCCATTCCTTAAGCCAGTTTCTGTCTAGGGCCACATTCCCTTGGGAGTAACCTATCAGAAGCTGCAGGCCTGGAGTGGGCGGGGCCATAAGGCAACTCCGTACATTCCTAGGTGCAGATTACATGGGATATCTGCACATGGGCATTTAATGTCCCTGACCCCCACCCCCAAACACAGCAGATTTATTGCTGTAGAGGCTAAAAGGCCAAGTATTTATAGGTGAAAATGTTCACAGCTTTGACCTCAAATAGTACAGATTTTTGCCTGCGTCTCTTACCTTTCGGCTGGCATTGGTGGTGATAGCAAGTCCATTCGGCAACAGGCGAGCCGTTTTGTGCTTTTTTATCAGCTGGACAGAGACAACAGGAATGACAACCTGAAACGGAGAAGAATGGATGTAGTTTGCGCGCGAGCCAAGAGCTGAAGTCATGGGATCGCACAAGATAACTCCCTGGGTCGTTAATTTCTGGTTGCAGAATCATCGCCCAAGTCCTAACCATAATCAGTCTGCAAACAAGTCACAAAGATTTCGACGAGAGGAGGCTTGCACAACTGGAAGTAAGACCCCATTTGCACTACGCATTTAAAGCCGTTTCCTATCACTTTCCTAGCATCACAGAACTGTAGAGTTGGAAGGGACCCGATAGTCATCTAGTCCAACCTCCTGCAAGGCAGGAATCTCAACTAAAGCACCCACGACAGATGGCCATCCAACTTCTGCTTTAAAATATCCAAGGAAAAGAGTCCAACCCCTTCCGAGGGAGTTCATTCCACTGTCAAACAGCTCCTGCCGTCCAAAAGTTTTTAAATATTTGTGGCGTCTCCCAAAGAATCCTGGGAACTGTGGTTTGTTCAGAGTGCTGAGAGTTGTGAGGAGACCCCTCAGAGAGCAACAATTCCCAGAGTTCCCTGGGAAGAGGGACTGGCTGTTAAAACCAGTATGGGAATTGTAGCTTTGTTGATGGGAATATGGGGGTCGCCTAACAATTCCGGGCACCTTTAAAAAAACCACCCATCAAATGCTTGCAAGCAAAAAAGTCTGTCTACTTGCTTTTTTAACCTTATCGGCCAGTCAAACATTGGTGTTTAAAAACAACAACAACAACCCATGAGTAGCTTTTCCTACCCACATTCTGCTCACTGTCAATAAAGGCTAGAAATACTTAGGCTGTGAACAGATGAAGCAGAAGGCACTGCAGAGGCTGAAATGAGGCATCAGATAATTGCTCTTGCCTGCAGTACACGTTTTCTGCCCCATCATGGGCTCTGATGAAATCGGTTATGCAACTTCTTATGGTAATTCCAAGCTGCAGGAAAAGACCACATAGCTCAGTGGCAGAGCAGGCAGAAGGTCCCCATTTCAGGAAGAACTGAGAAAGGCTCCTTTCCCAAATTTTGCACAGCTGCTGCAGATGTAGATGGCCCAGAGCTAGGTAGATCAATAGTCTGACACCGTGAAGAGACAGATTGCTATATATCCGGGGGGGGGGGGGGACCAAGAATTGCTATAAATAAGCATGTGCTGGATGCCAGGTTTCATGGCAGGGCCATTATTATTATTGACTCCAAATGCTCTGTAATGGTGCAATTTCCAGACCACTGCGTTTGAGAAGAATTAGGACAGTGGCCACAAATGAAGCTGCTGGGGACCCACAGCAGAAGCCCTGGCAGGCAAAGGGCCCCAGCAGGCATTGCTGTTGTCAGGGAGCCCCTTGCAGTAGCCTGTGGGTGCAGGGCAGTGACACATCAGCCCCAGGGAAACAGCTGAGATGAGAACAAGACAGGGGCCAAGTCTTTCCCAGGGCAAGGTTCCCTCTCTCCTCCGTTGGGCTTGTACGGCTGTCATTATGCTGGGTGCTGGGTCAGAGCAAGCACCACAGATGCAGTAAAGGAGGGACTGGCATGAAGCAAATGTACCCAGCTTTCGACATAAAACAAAAGGCCTAGGAAGAGTCTCAAGTGTCATGGGCAGGCTGGATCCAGAGGAGTGGTGGGAGGCACTAGCTGGGGAACCCCCAGGGGAAGAAGCTCAGAGACAGAGGATTGGTGGTGGGACGACAAACGTATGGTCAGAGGGGGAAGAAGGAGAAGACTGGAAGAAGGAGGTGTCAGAAGCTGAAGAGGCAACAGGATTTAGTGAGCAGGAAGAGGCTGTGGCAGAGAGTGGTGCAGAATCAGAGGCAGGAGAGGAGTGGGGCTAGGAGACAGAGATGAGACAGGCTGCTGAAGAAGCCAGGGAGTCTCCCCCTCCTGCTGTGACCAGCTCCCTTTCCCCCTGGTCTCCCAGAACACACAGAGAAATGAAGAGGAGCAACGAGAGACAAGATGATGGAGCCTTAGGTTGCTGGGGGAGGAATCTTAGAGAGCAGTGGGAAGGTGGGGACTTTCAGGCCTCACAACTAACTCACTGGGGCAAGACCTACTGGGAAGAGCTTGTATGATCACTAGGCCTGTGCTGTTTGGGTTTCTTCTAATAAATAGTTAACTTCACTGACTCCAGTGTTGTTGTTTTTATTGCTGAGCTATTCCTGACTGGCTCCTGACATCAAGGCAGAAAAGCCATCTCCTTTACTTAGTGCCTTTACTTAGTGCCTTTCTCCCTTAGCACATGAGGGAGAAAGAAGAACATGCCACAGATTGTGGACATGACCCTCAATCTAAGGAAAATAAACAGTCGGAGGGAAAAGTTCAAGGCTGCAGTCAGATAAATTGCAATGTAATGACAGAAGAGTCCTGCTAAATGGACTGAACGTTGTGGAGTTGGAAGCAGCCTTCTTCCTGAGCAATGTTTATTTAAATAGGTAGCGCTCAGGATATAAATAATTCAGCCGTTCGGCACCATTTTAAGGAAGTCTGTTCTAAATATGGACGAGCGTTACCCATCAACGGCAGTGTTTACCAGATAACCCCAGAACTGTAAATCAAGGAAAGCAGCAGGAATTCTGCACTGTTATCAGATTCAGCTATGGTTTCTCTTATGCCACAGACACAGGCCTTGCCTCCAAAGCAGCTTGCTTTGAGGATTTAAAACAAAACAAAAAAGTGACATTTGTTTCCATAAGATGTCCTTGCACCTTAGAAAGCTGGGTTCAACCATCTTGCTTGTCCACCTTGCCATGGTGAGTGGGGAGCCAGGCTCAGGCGAGTGAGAACCCAAATCTGGAGCTATAGGCAGAGGCAAGCTGGTGTGCATCCCAAAAGCCAATCTCAGTTCAGGTCTTCAGGTAGCAGAGGTGGCCTCTAGCGACCCAAGTGGTGTTCTGAGCTCGGAGCAGAGACAGAGTTGGGCCTCCTGTCTGAATTAAAGAAGCCGAGGAACAGGATTGCCTCTAGGGCCAAGCCCAAGGGGCACCCCAAGTCCAGAGCACCTGTCAAGCATTCAGGCAGGGCACGTCTCTGCCCCCAAACCATGTGGGGTCAAGGGCCTGTATCTAAGGGGTGGGCAGTGGAAGTGGGAATGTAAACATTTGGCAAACATCGCACCCTGGGGCCTTAGATTGAATGGGCTGCAAAGAATGAACAAAGGAAGATAATATTCAACTCCTCCTGCACTCTAGGTTTGAGACAGCATGAAGATTATGATAGATTGCACACGCAAAAATGGATTTTGTATTTATAAGAGATGACAGAGCTGCTGTCTGTGAGGAGGAAAATATGGCTGCTGTAAGAATGGACAACAACAAGTAATGACTGAAATGGAAATTAAAGATGAGAAGATGTGGCAACATGAGGAAGAGATGGACATATGTTTGCAACAGAAGTTGGAAACCTGGTTTTAAGAAATTGTATTAAATTAAAGTAATTCGGCAGATTTGTAATAATTTGGAAAACTAACAAAAATAAATATTTACTTTTTAAAAGGGCTTTCCCCCCACCCTGCAGCCAGCAGCTCCAAGCATAGATATCAGATTTCCCCCGGAACTTGTGCTACATTTGAGATGCTGCAGTTGAGAGGCAACACTTGGAGAAGGCACGTCCAATACTGCAATCAATGTTTGACTGGCCAACAGGTTTAAAAAGCAAGTAGGCAGACTTTCCTGTGCTCAAGCATTTGGTGGGTGGTTTTTAATACTGTCGCCACTTCATTTGATCTCCATCGAACACACTCCTCTTTTAGTCTGCTAATGTTTACTGACTCACCTTGATATCCTTCCCAAAAAGGTTTGCATAGAAACAGAGCCAGTTTGGGGAGATGTAGAGGCGGCCTTGGATGAGGATGTCTCTCTGGAGAGCACAGGAGCAGACTGCAAAGAGACAAGGCATCGTGTGAAAGGGTGTGCTGGTCCTGCTTTGCGGGAGGGAAACATCACCTCCCAAAGCAGTTTGCCCCCAGTCAAGATTCAATGCACCCTGCTGGTGGCAGCGGCTGTACATAAACGAAAGGAGATTCGGAATATACCACTGGGGTTACAAATAAAATACAGTGGTACCTCAGGTTAAGTACTTAATTCGTTCCAGAGGTCCGTTCTTAACCTGAAACTGTACTTAACCTGAAGCACCACTTTGGCTAATGGGGCCTCCTGCTGCTGCTGCCGTGCCGCCGCGCGATTTCTGTTCTCATCCTGAAGCAAAGTTCTTAACCTGAGGTACTATTTCTGGGTGAGCAGAGTCTGTAACCTGAAGCGTATGTAACCCGAGGTACCACTGTAAAAGGCACAATGGAAGGGAACTTGAAACTTGCCTACTACTTTATGATGTTCTGTTAGTACTAAGGAAGGTGTTATTCTTATTCTACAGGAGGCAGGAATCAGATCTTTATCTTTCCCCACCACTGCAGATTTACTCTGACAGGTGGGTGGTGTCACGATGGCATCAGGAGACTGATAGGTGGGTGGCCCCACCCAGTGGTCAAAAGCTCCCCCATGGGGCAGAGTCTGCTTCACGATCTCATTCCTCCAAGGGGACTTGCTGGAAAAGCAGCACCCCATCAGCTGTTGCCCCCCAGTGACACCAGCTGATTGGAAGGTGGGTGTGGTTTGGAGGAAATGGCCTCAACGGTCAGCTTGGACTTCCTGATGGGTCAAGGCTGGCCCACGGACCAAAGTTTCCTCAGCCCTGTTATTTGGAACTTTGCTACTTTGATTTCATATTTTTGTTCTAGTTGCTCTATCATCTTCCTCTCCAAATTTTTCACCATCATTTTAGTCTTTGTTTTGTTCAATTTGAATCCTGATAATTTTCCGAATTTCTCCAATTCTTCCAATACTTTGCCAACACTGGTTTGAGGTTCCTCTAAAGATAATACTAAATTGTCCGCATATGCCTTCAATTTAAACTCCTTGGACCCAATTTTAATTCCGCGTATTTCCGATGTTTCCCTCGCCCTATTTGCTATCACCTCTAGCACCATTATAAACAGCAATAAACAGCTCCTTTCGCAATATCGAATGACTCAGTCAAATTGTTATTGACAATCAATTTAGCTGTTTGGTTGGAATATATAGCTTTTATGCCCTTCATAAGTGATCCCTCCATCCCCATTGCTTCCATACTCTATCAAAAACTGCCAAGACACATTATCAAACGCTTTTTGATAATGCGTCTGTTATTTGGAACTTTGGAACTTCTTTCTCACCAACAAGGCAAATTGAGGTTCTCCCCCTGCTCCAATGGGGACACAGTGATGGGCAAAGCTGGCAACCACAAGCCCCCATTCCAAGATCCAGGTCCATGTTGCTCCTGCAATTTACTTTTCAAAAAGCATTCGAGCGATTACTCATTACATTTATTGTGTCGCATCGAGTTTGGCCTTCAGAAAACCAGGTGGGTTAGACACTCTGGGCTAAGGTTGCCCTCTAGGAGGTGGCTTCAGCCGGAATGCCTCTAGCTGTTGAGAGCCTCATCCAGAAATGAACCGCCAGGCCAGAGTAGCCAGCCTCCAATACTACCCTCCAACTCTATGATTCACTTCCTCCCTTTAAGCAATGTTTACCACTCACCTTTCAGCACACTCTCCTCGGTAGGGATGTCCTTGAACAACTTGTGGTACTGAGAGTTGTATTTATTTGGAGGCTAGACAAAAAAAAAGACATAAAAAGAGCTAAGGTTATCAAAGAGGTGACGCCCGAGTGTACTGGCAGCAGGCAGATAGTGGGCAAACTAGTCTGACCACAGGTTTACCATTCTTGCAGCCTTTTCACTTAAATCCTCATCATCATGTCCTCCTCCTCCCAGGACCCGTTATGAAGCGCTCAGAAAAGAGACAAGGAACACACTGTCCGGATAGTAAAGTGCTGGGAAGTAAAACCCATTAGCCTACTGCACAAAGGTAACGATGACATTTGTTGCTCCGCCTCCTTTTGTCTCTGGCCGGCCCACACTGACATGTGGCCCTCAGCAGGTTGCCCAGAAAGGAATGCGGTCCCTGGGCTGGAAAACGTTCCTGCTTTATATGGAAAGATGACTATTCCCGTGCTGTCTGCTCAAAGCTTGTTTCCTTCTGCAATGCCTAACAATTATTGAGACACCTCCCCGCCCCCCACCATATAGCACCTGAAGAGAGAAGTCGATGACAACAATAAAAGCATGCATGCAGAGAGCCCATAAAAGGTAAATACTGTATCTAGCAGGTGTCACTAGGCCAGAGTTCCTGTGAAGTTTAAGCCAAGAGCAGAAGGTGGAGCAGCAGGACCAGGATGCAAGAGGCAGCTTTCAGTCCAGCAGGGGGGAAAGATTACAAGGGAAAAGCAAGCAGAATCTGGCCAGACGGTTTGCCCCTGACCAAGGGCAGTGGCTGCAGAGTCCTGGAAACCAGCACCCTGCCCCTCCCCAACTCACCGTGACTTCGCTGCGGCATTTCTTTAACTCCTCCTCCTTGATGGCATCACTCAAGTGCAGGCTGTAAGACAAAGGGAGATTCCACAGATGGGCATCCCTACGGCCATACTCACACAAAAAAACACCCTGCACTTTTATCAAGATCCCGCTCAAAACTCAATTAGGCTGGTGGCGGCTGCCAAGACGGCATTCTGGGGTCTGCAAACATAATCGACTTACTGAGGTCTGCCAAATTAGAGGTCTTGGTTCTTTTAAGATGGGCTTTAAAAGACCTGCACTTTCAGGACAGGTTTCTGAAGTTCAGTTTACCTAATCGATTCTTTTGGCTGCTGTTCCGTCTTTCTGCTTTCCATTCCTTTTTATGCTGCGTTTTGTTCTGTTTGACCGTATCGCACTGAAAAGGCAGGTTATTAATTCTGCCCCCCTAACCCTTACTGTAAAAGATTAGCACACTAATCCTATGTTATACCGGCAAAGTTTCGCTATCACCTCCTGTAAGAAAGAATCGGGTTCTGCGTAGACAATGGAATCTTCCTCCCAAAAGTAAAGTTATGTTTGAAGTTGAAAGGACATGATACTCACGAGAAATGACTAACAGGTTATCTGTATGTTTCCTCTTAGTCATATCTCACGAGGGCTGTGTCTTTTCCACGTCAAACAAAATAGCAAGCCACTAAGAATTTGTAGGAAATTTTTTAAAGCGGCATGAAGGTGTTGTGACACACATGCATCCACGAAGATCCTTCTCCTCTTCGTAGTTACATTTGCCCTCAAATGGTATTTTAAACTTCAGATTTGCATGGTTGGGTAGTTCACAAGCTCCACCAGCTTCACTGGACCAGGGAACAGGTGAGAGAGATGCTGGAGCCTTGTTTGTACAGGATATTAACGGGGGCCACATAACTCTCGCAAGGAAGGCAGAGATCTCTGACTCCTAACTTACATTCCGCTTACTTCAGGACAGGTACACACTCCCCCTTCCTCTTCCTTCTTTAGCATGGGTCTGTGGAAGATTGCTGCGCCTACTCTCCAGGCATTTGGGTAGCTAGGGATCCATTTTAGATCTAAGGTGTGTATGTACTGTGTATGACTCCCTGCTTGTTTATGTGCAACCAGGCTGTCAAAAAGAAGCATCTGTGTACTCTGCCTCCTTTATTTCATGTAACAAACCAACCGTTCTTTCTTTCCTGGTGCGTGAACTCCTTTGTTAGGCACAAGGTCATGAGTAAAAACACCCATTAGTAAGGAATGCACATTTTGACTCCAGCAAAAGATCCTAAATCTCTAGGGTGTGTACATAGGGAACATGTGGGTGGTGGACACACAGGATGTGGGTCCAGACATACACCTTGTGAACAGTAGCCAGCGACAGCCCTATATTCTGTATTAGATCTACAGAGGCTCCCCTCCCAGGGCCGACCAATTCTGGTGGCAGGGCAGAATGGTAATGAAGCATGGGGAAGAAGGATTGATTTCTCCTTCCCTGTGTGCCACGGTCCTGATCCTGTGCTGCCTCCCTGCAGCTGAAACACAACATTTATACGAAAGCTAAACACCCAATCACATTCCTGCAATTAATGTTACACTTCTTTCGGCCCTTTGTGTTGACTTCTTACAGCTGAAGTGTCATCCTAAGCATGCTCTTGAATGGGGCTCTGTCCCAAGTAAGAGCACATCAGATTGATGCCTAATGTCAACTGAGCCCAGTTTACAAACACCCAGATGGTAGCTATTAGATATGATCCCAGCAGAAAGGGAAGGGAAAGCAATGTGGGGTGTGGGGGTGTGAGAGAGACAGAGAGAGAGAGAGAGAGAGAGAGAGAGAGAGAGAGAGAGATGAACTCAGTCCCTCTAAAAAGCAAAGCAAAACGTAAATAAATGCAACCGCACTCACCTGCCATTTGGAGAATCCAAGCTCTTTTCCTTGTGTAATGCCTCCAGTTTGTCCAGACTGTGCATGAGCCCTGCTTTCTCATGCATTGGTTTCGTGCTGCAGAAAAAGAAGGGGAGGGAGACACAGAATAACACAGGTTGTATCCCAAGCGAAAAAGCAGCCATTAGGTGGTGATCGTAGCACATAACACAGGACACAGCCAAGCCACTATCCCGTCTAGCTCATAAGTGTCTAGGCAGACGGATGGCAGCTGTCCAGAGTTTCAGGCGGGGGGGTCTTCCCCAGACCCACCTGGGAACGGAGGCCTGGGACACATTCTGCATGCCAAGCAGATGCACGACCACTAGGGCCTAGATCCCTAGATCTTAACAGAGAGCAAGGTTACAAAATGCTCCGGCTGGAAGCCCACGTTCTGTTCAGCGACACAAAACCTGCCAAGAGTTACTAAGTGTGCAGTGTACACACACACCTGCAATTCTCACATGCAATCCAGACACTCAGTTCCAGGGATGTTGGGACCTGGAGGTACCGCAAGAGTTAACACAGACAAAAGAGATAAATCAGAAGCGAAATCTATTCTATCCAAGGTGAATTCACTCGCTGTTTCAAAGGGGAATTGGCATATTTAACAAAAAACAAAACCTAAACAAAATCAAAAAATAGCACACTAATACTAGGCTGAGTTTAAGTCATTACAAGCATTGTTCTTGAAGCATACCTGGGAGATTAAGATAATAATAATAATAATAACAATAATAATAATAATAATAATAATAATAATAATAATAATAATTTTTATTTATACCCCGCCCTCCCCAGCCAAGGCCGGGCTCAGAGCGGCTTACAAGCAATAATAAAAACAAGTTGAATGATTACAACTTAAAAACAAAATTAAAATACAATATTAAAATATTGAAACATTAAAATATTAAAATGTAGCCTCATCGCAGGAGGAGAAGGAAAAGAAAAAAGAAAGAGAGGGAGGGAATCAAATTCACTCCAAGCCAAAGGCCAGGCGGAACAACTCTGTCTTACAGGCCCAGCGGAAAGAAATCAGATCCTGCAGGGCCCTGGTCTCGTGAGGCAGAGCGTTCCACCAGGCCGAAGCCAGAGTTGAAAAGGCCCTGGCTCTGGTTGAAGCTAATCTAACTTCCTTAGGGCCCGAGACCACTAGCGTGTTGCTATTTATGGACCTTGAGGGTCTCCGTGGGGCATACCGGGAGAGGCAGTCCTGTAGGTACGAGGGTCCTAGGCCGTGGAGGGCTTTAAAGGTCAAAAGCAGCACCTTAAATCTGACCCTGCACTCCACCGGGAGCCACTGGGTGAATATGCTCCCATGGCAGAGACCCCGTGAGGAGCCTCGCTGCAGCATTCTGCACCCGCTGAATGTGGTCAGGGAAGCAGGGGGAGAGATGTTGGCTGAATGAGGTGAAGGAATATAGGAATAGGGAAAGCTGCCTTATACAGTGGTACCTCTGGATGCGAATGGGATCCGTTCCGGAGCCCCATTTGCACCCTGAAGCGAACGTAAGACGCGACTGCGCTTCACGTTTTGCCGCTTCCGCACATGCGCATGACGTCATTTTAAGCATCTGCGCATGTGTGAGTGGCGAAACCCGGAAGTAACGTGCTCCGTTACTTCTGGGTTGCCGCGGAGCGCAACCCGAAAATATTTAAGCTGAAGCGTATTCATCCCGAGGTATGACTGTACCAAGTCAGACCATTGCTCCATCTTACTCAGTATTGTCTACACTGACTGGCAGCATCTCTCCAGGGTTTCAGGCAGGAGTCTCTTCCAGCCCTACCTGGAGATTGTTGGGGATTGGACCTGGGACCTTCTGTATGCCAAGCAGATGGTCTGCCCCTCAGCTACGGGGAATAAAGGTCTTCCTGTTGCCTAGGAAAGAAAGATACTTGTCTGGGGAGAGGGAATCTCCGTCACCTCACCTCTCCCCGCCCCCCGCCACACACATGCCACCTGTAGACACACCTCCACCTTACACAAGCAAATGGGAGTTGCCTCATGTACCTAAAAATGTACCAGCCACTAAGGCAAAGACTTGTTTGGAAAGAGTGCAAAACCCTACAGGCACACCGAGAGTCAGGTGTCAGCTGCAACAGCTGCGTTAACTACAACCCCGCCTGATATCCGATATTCCCTCAATAACTATACAAAGGATCTGTGCAACTTGAGATTTGTGGCACAAAACTTTGGCATAGGTATGGGAATGTGATTGTGGCTAACGGTTCTGGATGCAGCCCCCTGGCGGACCACACGGTTATACCACTTCAAAAGTCATGGCTTTCCCCCAAAGAATCCTGGGCAGGGTAGTTAAAGGTGCTGAGAGTTATTAGGAGACCCCTATCCACCCCCCCATAAGGGACACGGGTGGCGCTGTGGGTTAAACCACAGAGCCTAGGACTTGCTGATCAGAAGGTTGGCGGTTTGAATCTCCGCAACGGGGTGAGCTCCCATTGCTCGGTCCCTGCTCCTGCCAACCTAGCAGTTCGAAAGCACGTCAAAGTGCAAGTAGATAAATAGGTACTGCTCCAGCAGGAAGGTAAACAGCGTTTCCGTGCGCTACTCTGGTTTGCCAGAAGCGGCTTAGTCATGCTGGCCACATGACCCGGAAGCTATACGCCGGCTCCCTTGGCCAATAAAGCAAGATGAGCGCCGCAACCCCAGAGTCGACTGGACCTAATGGTCAGGGGTCCCTTTACCTTTATCCACCCCCCTGGAACAGAACTAGAATTCCCAGGCTGGGAATCCCTCTTCCCAGGGCACTCTGGGAAATGTGGCTCTGTGAGGGGAATAGGGGGTCGCCTATCAACTTTCAGCAAACCACGGTTCACAGGATTCATTGAGGGACGTCATGACTGTCCAAGTGGAATAATATCGTTTTGTAATGTTTGGTGTGGATGTGGTCACGCCACGCTTTGTTGCAAACCAGGGCTGGCAGCTCGAAAAGGCCCTAAGATCTTGAAACAAGAAGAAATTCCGACAAAAGAAGAATGGCAGACGAAATTAATGGACTATGCAGAATTGGACAAAATGACAGGAAGGATTTGACATCTGCGGGACCAGAGATTTACAGAAGATTGGAAGAAGTATATGAATTATTTGAAGAGCAACTGTAATCAACAAATTACGCTAGTAGGACTACAATAAGTTTTGTAAGGAGAAATATACGAAGTGTTACAAAGTAGAAAAAGATAGAGATATTGGTTATGAGTTTGAAATGTAATAGGGAAGATAAGAAATGCATACTGAGAGATTGGATTGGAAAATTTTCAGACAGGATCGATGGAAGTCAAAAATTTGAATAAGATGTAAAAGTATGTTTAATTACAGCTGAAAATGATATGTTAAAAAAAAACTAATAGAAAAAAATATATATATAAAAAAGAAAGAAAAGGCCCTAAGATCTTGAAACCACACCACGCTGATCAGGTATAGAGAGAGGCAAGAGAGCCACTGGGCTTTGGCGATTTATCCTGTTACACAGCTGCTTAAGTCCTGGAGTAACAGTGCTGCTGCTGCCTGCATCTCTTTATCTCTCTCGCAATAGCCTGGATTATCAGTTAACCAGGTCAGCAAGAGGCTTTTGAAAAACCCAAAGCAAACAGCAGTTGGGCCAAAAGGTTATCCCACAGGAGAGACTGGCAAAGCTGCCTTGAAAGAGCTGCAACTCACACTCTGCAAGAGGGCAAGGAATTGCCCAAAATAGACAAACCATTCGAGATAAGAGAGGCTAAACAGTGAAGAGGGCCCCAGAAAACCAAACAGCAAGGCGCAGCCTGCAGTAGGAGCCAGGCATGGTGCCAGGAAGAGCTGTCAAAGAGCTTTTGTCTTGTGTTGGAGACCCAGGAAAAACTTCCACGGAGCAAAACGGGGAGATAGGAAGGTGGACTCTACTGCCCATGGTCCATGGCGAGCAGAGTCAGACAGAGACTCCTGAAGGTGGTTCCCACTTCCTTATCTGCCCCCAACTCAGCTTTGTCCCCAAAATCAGGAAACTTTAAAAATATGTATATGGGGAACCTTTTTCAGTTCAGGGGCCACATTCCATCTAGGCCATGGGGGCCAGATCCGGCCCAATCGCCTTCTAAATCCGGCCCGCAGGTGGTCCAGGAATCAGCGTGTTTTTACATGAGTAGAATATGTGCTTTTATTTAAAATGCATCTCTGGGTTATTTGTGGGGCATAGGAATTCGTTCATCCCTCCCCCATATAGTCCGGCCCCCCACAAGATCTGAGGGACAGTGGACCGGCCCCCTGCTGAAAACGTTTGCTGACCCCTGGTCTAGGCTCTCTGTCGGCCCCTATTGGCATTCCTGCTGCACATTCTGTACCAACTGAAGTTTCTGAACCGTCTTCAGAAAAGCACAAGTCTGAGCAGGTTTTTCATTTGCCTCACCATTTCCCCCAAGAAAATCTGCTCTTTGTTGCTGATTCAGAGCAAACGTCAATCCATAAAAACCTGATTCAGAGGTAAGATCGGGTTTCCCTGGGGGAAAGTGGCAGGACAAGCAGAAGAATGGATAAGGCCTTCCTCAAGAGAGGGCTGTAGCTGGTAAGCCAGCGAAGCTGGTAAAAAGTCTTCCTGGCCACTCCATCCAAGTTCCTCTCCATCAAGAGCAGCGAATCCGGGGGCACTGACTTCCAGGCTGCACACCTGACTCTTCATCTCCATCTAAGACAGGTTGCAAACTACAAGTCACCTCAAACATGACCTGCAGTCAATAAACCAGCAATCCCTTTCCCTTTTGGTGTGTAGGGCACCTCTGAGGACACAACCCACCTGCAGTGGATCTTGGTTCTCAAACACCTTGGTACTCAAACGCCTTGGTTCCCAAACGCCGAAAACCCGGAAGTAAGTGCTCCGGTTTTCAACCATGTTTCGGAAGCTGAACATCCGATGCAGCTGTCGGCTATTGTTTCCGGGGCGCCTGCACCAATCAGTGCCTTGGTTTTTGAACATTTTGGAAGTAAAACAGACTTCTGGAACAGATTAAGTTTGGCGCTTTTGTTTTTGTTATTTATTTTGCGTTTTTGAGGCTTTTTTGGTTGATTTGTTTTTGTGACTGTGTGGAACCCAGCTCTGCTATTGATTGATTGATTGATTGATTGATTGACTGATTGTGTGACTGCGGAAATGGATAACCCCCCCCAATCTAAACAATGACTATCATCAGTGCAGGTAAGAAAAAAAATTATTTTTAATTTTTATCACCTACAATACTGCCTTATTTATTTTATAGTACAGTACATTGATTATTGCTTTCATTTTATGGATCAATGGTCTTGTTAAATAGTAAAATTCTTGTTAAGTTGCTGTTTTAGGGGTTGTTTTTAAAAGTCTGGAACGGATTAATCCGTTTTGCATTACTTTCTATGGGAAAGCACGTCTTGGTTTTGGAACGCTTTGGTTTTGGAATGGCCTTCCAGAACAGATTAAGTTTGAGAACCAAGGTACCACTGTACTTGGATTGTTAAATTCTTACACACTAAACAGGTTTTCATCAACGGAAGTAGAGGACCTATTTCTTTCCCCAAGTCTACCTTTTATCTGCAACCAGTGAGGCAGTGCAAATACAGGTGTTAGGTTATAAACAGATTTAAGATAAGAGATAAAGGTTTTAAAAGGTGCAAACTTCTGCCCTTGCTTCCGCTTTTTCCAAATTGGAGACTGCTTCCTGGGTAATCAGTACTCCATCACCTTGCAACATTTGGAAATCAAATTCTGGATTTCCCAGGGTTTTAGTTTTTTCATCTCCCCCCACTGCCTTTCCAATTTTGGAATGAAAAATCACACGGCTAACCCAGCACGATGCAAAGATGGTCATAAAGGAGTCAAACAAAAGGAAGGAGCAGGTATAAACTAGAACAAGGTTATAAACTAGAACAAAGGAGAGTCAGGTAAAGTTAACGGAGCTCAGAATAAAAGCCTGCTGGAAAAGAAAACTCTTTTCACTTGGCAGTAGGATAAGATCAGAGAGGGAGACACACAGGTGTCCTGTGGCAGGGGGTTCCAAAGGCCAGGAACCACACAAACTCACACACACTCATTGCAGCTGGTGGCAGAACCCACAGGAAGGTTTCCACAGATGACATCACTGACAAGGTAGGATTATAAAGGCATTTAGGGGATAGAAGTTTTTAACGTTTGATGTTATATTATGTTTTTGTGTGTGTTGGAAGCTGTCCAGAGTGGCTGGGGCAACCCAATCAGGTGGGTGGGGTATAATACTATTAATACTACTACTACTACTACTATTATTATTATTATTATTATTATTTATTTGGCATGCCCAACAAGAAGTGCCCTTCCCCACCCTACACCCATCAAAAGCTTAGCTGCTGCTTTTTGTTCTGGCTGATGCTTCTGGATGGGTTCCAAAGGCAGCCCCATGCAAAGCACACCACAGCAAGCTTTAAAACTTGTTTATTTTAAATAAAGAGTGCGGATTTTACACACATACACACCCCAGCATGCCAGAGCATATCAGAGGTCTGAGGGATTTTCCGCTGACGCAAATAGGATATCGTTTCACAGAAGTGGGGCACTGATTTCTATGTTAACACAGAAAAGATTATGTAGGCCCTGGTCCCAAAACACCGCTTTTCGTTTCTTTTTCATTCATATTGAGCCATCGGTGTGCATGGCACTTGAAATCCCCAGGTCCATTTTCTCCCACCTCCTCTTGCGATTTCCCTTGTGTTGAATTTCAGACTATAGGCACCTAGAGAGGCACAGACCTATGTTCTTACAATCCCCAAAGTCCAAAAGGACAAATCTCTACCTCAAGTAGTTTACAATCTGGGGCAGAGTGCTCCAACATGAAGGGCCACATGCGGCCCCTCAAGGCCTTTTCTGGCAGCCCTAGGCAACTTTTGATGCCCCCCCCCAAACTTGGCGCTGGGTTTGGCAAGCAGGACTGAGGGCTCTGACAGGGTCCTAGAGTCCTCCTGTCTCCTTCCCAAAGCCTCCTTCGTACTTTCCCAATTTTTGGAAGGAGGCGGGACAGCTCTAGGACTCTGCCAGAGCCTCGCTTTGTGAAGGCAGAAGGAGGGCTGGGGTGGGGGCTTCAATTTTTTGTCTCCCCCCCCCCAATGTACAAGGCAGTGTGCGGCCCACGGGTTCCATGCCAAAGTACAGTGGTACCTCTGGTTAAGAACTTAATTCGTTCCAGAGGTCCGTTCTTAACCTGAAACCGTTCTTAACCTGAGGTACCACTTTAGCCAATGGGGACTAAATCGCCACCGCGCGATTTCTGTTCTCATTCTGAAGCAAACTTCTTAACCTGAGCTACCATATTTTTCTCTCTGTAAGACGCACTTTTCCCCTCCTGAAAAGTAAGGGGAAATGTGTGTGCGTCTTATGGAGCGAATACAGGCTGCGAGGCTATCCCAGAAGCCAGAACAGCGAGAGGGAGTGCTGCGCAGTGTATTCGAAGTGTACCTGCTGGTCCAAAAAGGCTGGTGACCGCCCCCCCTCCCCCCGGTGCAGACCAACAGTCTGAATAAAGCAAGCTTAGTCACAAGTAGAATTAGAGTGTAGATCAGGCATAGGCAAACTCGGCCCTCCATATCTTTTGGGGCTACAACTCCCATCACCCCTAGCTAACAGGACCAGTGGTCAGGGATAATGGGAGTTGTAGTCCCAAAACATCTGGAGGGCCGAGTTTGTCTATGCCTGGTGTAGATGCTTAGGAGAAGCTTGGAAGAAGCATGCCATCACACAAGCAATCCCAAGTAGCTGGGCTATAAAGCATCAAACTGCTGGATTTCAACACGTCCTGCAGCTCACAAGGCAGAAGAAGAGCCTTTCTCCCTCTCAAAAAACAAAGAAAGAGCAAAAACTGGCAATCCAAGGGCTGACTAATATGATCCCCATAGCATGGGAAGCTGCTTCCAGTTGGTTCCCACGCAATGCTTCAGGGTAGGAAGATGCTGCATGGGTCAAACTGTTGGACCCTAGAAAATTACTGCCCCTATTTTGCTTCTGAGGGGGAGAGTTTAAGGGGCGCCTTCTTTAACATCCCAAGAAGCTAAGAGACCTGAGCGGCTGCAAATTCACCTCTAGCGCATGCATGCACTTGAACTTCAAGTCACTGTCCCTGCCATTCCAAGCTGCTCTGGGTGTTAACAATTCATAGGGGCAATTGTGGTGGATTCTAGTATATCTTTAACCCAAGAAATACACACACCTTTATTTATTCCTTTTATTTTATAGGAAAATTATGGTTTGCTAGTACATCTTTAACCCAACCAATAGACACACCTTTCTTTTGTCCTTGATTAGAACTGGGTTGCAAGCCTCTTCCGACAGCTACTCAGCAAGTCCCATTCAGTTCAATGGCGTTTGCTCCTAGCTATGTAGATATAGGACTGCAAGTTGATCCTTTCTAAAGTTTTATTTATTTATTTATTTAAAAATGTACTCAGGTGAGTGTAAATGAAAAGCGGTTGATGGTAATTTTGAGCAGAAGAGGTGGGGGGAGTGGCGGGTTGCGGAGCAGCATAGCTGTCAACGTTTCCCTTTTTTTAAGGAAATTCCCTTATTCCGAATAGGATTCCTCACAAGAAAACGGAAAAGTTGACAGCTATGAGGAGCAGGGGAGGTGTCAACCTTTGCCTTGCTGGCTGTTTCTCTGTTCAAAAACTCCCTCCACCCACTGACCCCTGAAGCTCCAGAATCACATTTACAACTATAAATACATATATTTGCATTTTGAATTGAGTAAGGACCAGTGAGGAAATACTTCCGCTTCTCCTTCAGAGATACAAGCTAAGTAGTTCATCTGCTTGGTCATTACTATACCCTACAGATGGGGGGTCTCAGCCCCAGGGGCCAAAAGTTCCCCCTAACCTCCCTATTTCCCCAGGCCAGTATTTTCACCTGGCTAGAATGTCTCTCATGATGCTTCTTGCTTGGCTGGACTGAAGACCGAGAGGGGTCATGTGTGTGTCTGTGCAGAAACTAGCCTATATTCAACAAAGCTAAAATTCACTCTCATTATTCTGCCAACTTTGCTCTTTGGCCCCACGCGCCACTGGCTTGCGGCCCTCAGAAAGTTGCTCAGGAAGGAACGCGGTCAGTGTGCTGGCAGTGTGCCCCGCTGCCGTTATGCACAACTGTGAGCAACTTCGAGCTGGTCCATGGGCTGTCTAGGTTCAAAATTATTTCCTTTCATGTCTGCACTCATGCGAACATGCATGCACACACAGATAGGCAGAACGGTGATCATAGAGCAAGGTTTGGGGGGGGCAGAAATCCACCCCACCCACTCCAACTCAGGAGAATGAGCAGCGAGGCTCTAAACGCAGCAGCAGCAGGACTGAGCTGACCCCATTCTGAAGCAAGTGAAGAAATAAATTTTGCCATCTAACAGGGCAGCCCCCAAAACTACAATTACCACAGAGCCTAGGACTTGCCGATCAGAAGGTTCAAATCCCCGCGATGGGGTGAGCTCCCGTTGCTCTGTCCCAGCTCCTGCCAACCTAGCAGTTCGAAAGCACGTCAAAGTGCAAGTAGATAAATAGGTACTGCTCCGGCGGGAAGGTAAATGGCGTTTCCGTGCACTGCTCTGGTTCGCCAGAAGCGGCTTAGTCCTGCTGGCCACATGACCCAGAAGCTGTACGCCGGCTCCTTCAGCCAATAAAGCAAGATGAGCACCACAACCCCAGAGTCGTCCGCGACTGGACCTAATGGTCAGGGGTCCCTTTACCTTACCTACACACACCCCAGTTAGTAGATGGAGATAGTAAATGTTGCTGAATATGCATGATCAGATCACGAACTAAATAATCTATTAAATATTTATTTTTAAAGCAAGAAACCTGCTATGGCCGACTGACTAATACATATTGCTTCAGAGGAAACCAGCTCAGTTTAATCACTTTTACAGCTACATCTCACCAGTATGCAAATTACTGGGGTTCTAGCAGGTCAGTTCTCAATCCCCAAATATGAAATGAATGAGGTAGGAACTGCTAGAAAGGGGAAGAGGCTTGCAGTGCAGTCCTATACAGGTCAACTCGGAAGGACACCTTGATGAGTTCAATGGAATCTACTCCCAAGTAAGTAGGCTGAGGATTGCAGCCTTAACGCATGGAATAAAGGTCAGGATTAGGAGCACTGGAAACAAGACATAAGAAATCACAAAGTCAGTGCCCTTATTAGGTGCTTTGACTACTATTTTTAATTTTTAATTTTATTTATATTTTGTTTGTTTTCATTTGAAACATTTATAAACCATTTAATTTAAAAAAAAATCTAAACGAAGTTTCAAAGTGCAATAAAATAAAACTATTCCCAGTTGTGGAACAAACATTACTAGAGTGCAAATTCTGCTGATTGAAGCCATCATGTAGGAACATATGGGGCAAGGCAATCCTTTAAGTAAACTTAAAGGGTTTTATTTACCAATAATAAAACCTTTATAGTCCAATACCTGTCCTGGTATCAAAATGGCAGCCAACGCAGATGTTTGAGCAGAGGTGCAATACGCCAACAGGACCTCACTCTGGTCAGCAACCGTGCTGCAGAATTCTGTACTAACTAACATTTCCACAGAATCCACAGAAGTGCATTTCAGTAAGCCAGTCTTGAAGTTCCCAACATCTGCACTGCTGTGGCCAAAATCTCCCAGGTGGCCTGACTAGCCAAAGCTGGCAAAAGAAAAGCAGACAGGGAACGGGAAGGGGCAGAGGCCGGCAAAGCTATTTTAAGTATTTTCAGGTACAAAGCATGTGAGCGGACTGACGCAACCGCAGGTCCTTAGGTGCTATCTAAGCAATAATAAAAATAGATTAAAAACCTCTAGGGACTGCGGCCAACTCTTCTATTGATTTACAGCCGCTGCTGAAAACCATGGCTCCTATTGTCGAGAGGGGAGTGAGCAACAATACACAGCAGCAGTACTGTTCTCTGAACGTGGCACATGGGGGCGCCCCCAATTGATCTCAGGGTTTGGCAGCAGGGCATAGCGGAGGAGGCAGCCCTTAAGGGGGAAAGGAGACGCAGCATGGCACCGTTGCTAAAGGTTAGTTTTGCACAAACTTATAACAGATCTCTTAGCCTAACCTACTTTGCAAGGTTGTGGTGAGGCTAGAACAGCGCTCTCTGTGCAACTTGGATGAGATGCAGGAAATAAATAAGGCATGCTGATAACACGAAGGTTGCAGGTTCGATCCCCGTAAGGGACAGCTGCATATTCCTGCCTTGCAGGGGTTGGACTAGATCAGGGGTCAGCAAGCTTTTTCAGCAGGGGGCCGGTCCACTGTGCCTCAGACCTTGTGGAGGGCCGGGCTATATTTTTTGGGGGGGAATGAACAAATTCCTATGCCCCACAAATAACCCAGAGATGCATTTTAAATAAAAGGACACATTCTATCATGTAAAAACACGCTGATTCCCAAACCGTCTGTGGGCCAGATTTAGAAGGTGACTGGGCCAGATCCGGCCCCCGGGCCTTAGTTTGCCTACCCATGGACTATGATCCACAGCGTCCCTTTCAACTCTATGATTTTATGAGATATATTAGGCTTTTATGAGATATATTGAGCTTCATATATCCACCTTGCTATTGGGATAGGGGTGTAGCTTTGCATGCAGAACGACCCAGCTTCAGTCCCTGGCAGCTGCCCGTCAGTGTAGACAATACTCAGAGAGATGGAGCCATGGTCTGCCTCAGTACAAGACAGCTCTCCCACATTCCTGTGTTGCTGAGACATTGGAAGCTGCTTTATAGCAGGTCAGACGATGTGCCCACCTAGCCCAGTGTTGTCTGCTCTGGCTGGCAGCCGCTCTCCAAGTTCCTGGGCAGAGAACGGTCCTTCCCATCACCTGCTCCCTGGTTATCTTAACTGGAGATACCTGGGATTAGAACTGGGGGCTCCTCCAGGCAGAGCATGTACTCTGCCACTAAGCTGAAAGAAAGATAAAATCTTGCAAGGCAGCAGCAAAAAGCCATAATGAAGTTCGTAGCTGCTGAAAAGCTTGCCCCGTATAACCTCCTTGAATTGTCCTCATATGATACATTCATCCCAATACTTCTTTTCTTATCACCTTCTCTTTCTCTCTCTCACTTTCTCTCTTTGTCGAACTTCAAACTAGGTCAAGTACATATAAGGGAGTGAGGGAATGTTTTAGCCAAGATTACTATATATTCTTTCAGCAGGTTAATACTGAACCAGAGATTCTGGAGGAGAAATGATGGACCGCACACACACACGCATCTAGACTAATCACAGATTTTGTGAATTTAATTAACCAGGTAGCGTTTTGTCGTATGAATTAGCACTTTGTCTAATAAACAAAGGAAGACAATGAAAGGTGGCATAGAGGTGAGGTAGAGAGACTGATTTAGGCATCTTGCTTTAAAAATAAAAACCATCTAGCAAACTCATTCTCCAAGATTTCATCCTTCAAAAGCAAGATGGCATCATTCATATGTCAGGGATCAGTATCGGCAGGTTTGAAGAAACCCAAACGTTTCCAGAAGTACACAAATAAAATACCTGGTGGCACAATAAATGGGGACACTAAAACAGTGTCCTAGGGACACAGGTGGCGCTGTGGGTTAAACCAGAGCCTAGGACTTGCCGATCAGAAGGTCAGTGGTTCGAATCCCCGCAATGGGGTGAGCTCCCATTGCTTGGTCCCTGCTCCTGCCAACCTAGCAGTTCGAAAGCACATCAAAGTGCAAGTAGATAAATAGGTACCACTCCAGCGGGAAGGTAAACGGTGTTTCCGTGCGCTGCTCTGCTTCGCCAGAGGTGGCTTAGTCATGCTGGCCACATGACCCGGAAGCTGTACGCCGGCTCCCTCGGCCAATAAAGGAAGATGAGCGCCGCAACCCCAGAGTTGGCCACAACTGGACCTAATGGTCAGGGGTCCCTTTACCTTTAAAACAGTCCAGTTAAGGCATGGAAAGGCAGATTCTGGGTGGAATCAGGAACAGGAGTACTCCATGCTACAACATTTTGTCGCAGCTACCAATTTTTTCTTTCTCTTGTGGTCAGGCAAAACGCACAGTAAAAGGCCAGAGCTGCAATGTCCAACAAAGGTAGGAAGGTGGCGCTGTGGAGCACACAAAACAGAGAGCTTGAGTGGGGACATTCTGAAGAACCCAACCTGCTGTACTTATTGGCATGAGAATCAAGCACAGCCAAGCAACATTTTAAAAGTGAAGCTTTAGCACATCCTTGAGAGCCAGTGTGGTGTAGTGGTTAAGAGCGGTAGTCTCGTAATCTGGGGAACCGGGTTCGAGTCTCCACTCCTCCACATGCAGCTGCTGGGTGACCTTGGGCCAGTCACACTTCTTTGAAGTCTCTCAGCCCCACTCACCTCACAGAGTGTTTGTTGTGGGGGAGGAAAGGAAAGGAGAATGTTAGCCGCTTTGAGACTCCTTAAAGGGAGTGAAAGGCGGGATATCAAATCCAAACTCTTCTTCTTCTTCTTCTTGATAAGTGTGGCTCAGCAGAGCAGGTTTCCTACAGGTCCTCCTCTTTGTCCTTCACTGCTTCATCTATCATCATTACTTCCCACCTTCCCCCACAACTCACAACATGTTTAGGCAATCAAATCTTGGCTCTGAGGAACTGAAATGTGCCTGAGCTTCAGGCACCTGCACAAAGGCACTTTGCGCAACTGAGCAAAACAAGCAAGATCGTTGCTGTTAACCGTACCTTCCCATTCCAACCAAATTGTGACACTGTGGTTGAAAGTTGGCTTCTGCATCCTGGCTTGCTTGGAAGCCGTTAACTTTGGTTCCTTAGTTTGGACACAATGGGGAAGCGATGGCTAACTGTGACTTCCTGGCTTGTTCACTCGTGCGGAAGGAGAACAAAACAGCCCCACGCAGGCAAATATGGGGAGCCTAGGAAGCTGTCTTCTACAGAATCAGAACCAATGGTCCATCTCGGTTAAGTCTTGCCTAGATGAACGGGAAACAGCTCTCCAGGATTTCAGACAGGGCTTTCTCCCAGCCCTACCTGGAGATGGATGAAGATGGAACCTGGGTCTTTCTACATGCAAAGAAGATGCTCTACCCCTGAGTCAAATTACTTCCTCCAAAAGGCCTGAAGCTCAAGCCCAGAGGCTGTCTCGCCAGAGTTGTGCATGCTCTAGTTATCTCCCACTTGGACTACTGCAATGCACTCTACGTGGGGCTATCTTTGAAGGTGACTTGGAAACTGCAACTAATCCAGAATGTGGCAGCTAGACTGGTGACTGGGAGTGGCTGCCGAGACCATATAATACCAGTCCTGAAAGACCTACATTGGCTCCCAGTACGTTTCCAAGCACAAGTCAAAGTGTTGGTGCTGACCTTGAAAGACCTCAATGGCCTCAGCCCAGTAGACCTGAAGGAGCGTCTCTGCCCCCATGACTGAGATCCAGCGCCGAGGGCCTTCTGGTGGTTCCTTCACTGCGAGAAGTGAGGTTACAGGGAACCAGGAAGAAGGCCTTCTCGGTAGTGGTGCCCGCCCTGTGGAACGCCCTCCCACCAGATGTCAAAGAGAAAAATAACTATCAAACTTTTAGAAGACATCTGAAGGCAGGCCTGTTTAGGGAAGTTTTTAATGTTTGATCGCTTTATTATTATTATTATTATTATTCTGTTGGGAGACACCCAGAGTGGCTGGGGAAACCCAGCCAGATGGGCGGGGTATAAATAATAAATTATTATTATTATTATTATTATTATTATTATTAAGCATCACTCAGCCTCATTCTCAGCCAGTGCACATTGTGATGGCCATGGCTGCGTCCATCCCAGGCACATGGCACCCAGGACCAAGACACCAGTGTGCAATGCACCACGAGCAGCAGATGCAGTAACCAGGTTTGGAGACTTGGACCAGCAAATCATGGTTTAACTCAACAACATGCCACCTTCCTTACTCCAAACCCCCAAGTTGATTGTTTTCCAGACACTGCACTGTTTCAAAGCCAGGGCAATGCAATGCAAGATACTTCTCTATCAAGAACAATCTGAAGAGAGGTTTATAAAGGGGGAGTGGGGGGAGGAGAGAGAGAAATAGAGTGAGAGAGAGAGAGAAATCTTTTGATCTCAAGCACGCCACTGTTTTCTTGGAAATCTTGGAGCTATTTCTGTGTCAGCTTTGTTGCTACTTTTAGCCATTCCCAGGGCCAAGGCAGCAGGAGCAGTTCAGCTCGCCCTGGAGATGTTGAGACTGGGAAAGGAATGCACCAACTGGACTCGCTTCATCCGCCCTGCCAGGATATGGCCCTGGGGATCAAAAGGACAGCACTTCAGAGACTTTGAGTAGAAGCAGGGAAAGGGGGAGGAAGTCCAAAAGCATGAACAGTGCAAATCCCCAGGCAGCTATGAAGCTAGGTGTGGTAGACCTTTGAACTCAAGATGTTGCTGAACCATCATCCCTGGTCATTGGCCATGTTTGCTAGAGCTGATGGGAGCTGTCTAGTTCAGCCACACTGGGAGGGTCAAAGGTTCACCATACCTGTCCTAGGCAAACATCCGAGCAAGGCGTTTTAGCAACTGGGAAAGGAGGCAGTCTCTCCAGAAGGTCCAGAGACATGCTGGGCCTTCTCTCGTTCATGTAAGCATGAAATCACAGCTTCCAGGCCAAGATGGGACTTGTGCTGCAAACAAGGGCAGGCTTTCCGCATCTCACTATAGTAGGGTGAACCATTCATACATTACTCAAGAAGTACTAACAAGAAGATGTGTGAAATGCCTAGTTTCCTCCCCACAACCACCATCCAAACGCTTCCTCCGTGAAGCCTCTCTCCCCAATGGCACAGATGTTTGCATAGCTTATCAGAGAACACCTGACTTACTACTGTTTACAGGAACAAGGCCACAGTGATGGGAAAGCAGGTGATGGGAAGTTCACTCTATTAGGCATTGGTGGCTCCGCCTAGAAGCTAGCTGGGGCACATCAGATCCAAGCCTACAGAATTGCAGAGTTGGGAGGGATCACGAAGGTCATCCAGTCCAGCCCCCTGCGATGCAGGAATCCTCCTGCCCAACATGGGGCTCAAACCCACGACCATGAGATTAAGCGTTTCACGCTCTACTGACTGAGCTAACACCTTCCAACACCTTAAGTAGAAAGCAAAAGGAAGAGATAGCAAGCAACGTATGGATGCTGAGGCCCAGCTGCCCATGGATGACGTGCGCCAGCACCAGGACTGAGGTTGAAAGTCAAAGAAGAACATAGAAAGCTGCCTTATACTGAGCCAGGCCACTGGTCCATCTAGCTCAGCCTTTCTCAACCTGTGGGTCCCCAGATGTTGTTGAACTACAACTCCCATTACCCCTAGCTAGCAACGCCAGAGCTCAGGGATGATGGGAGTTGTAGTCCAACAACATCTGGGGACCCACAGGTTGAAACCATTATTGTCTTCACCAGGGGTCGGCAACCTAATGCCCATGGGCCACAAGCGGCCCTCGGGGGTCGTTTAAGTGGCCCACAAGCTGCCCCCAAACCGAGCCGCCTGCTCAGCTAGTCCCCGTGAGCTGCGCTAAACCGGCACGGAGCGGCATGGGGACTCGCTTCTGTGGTGCTGGAAATTGCATCTGCACATGCGCAGGTGCCAAAAATCGTGTCTGCATGGACGCAGATGTGGGAAATCACAGGCAGGTGCGCAATCCGGCCCACGGGAGGATTTCCGCTGGAGTGAACTGGCCCAGGCGAGGTAAACCTTGCCGACCCCTGGTCTACACTGACTGGCAGCTGTGTAGTTTCAGGCAGGAGACACCTGGAGGTGTCATGTGTCGAAGCTGGGCCTTCTGCCTGCAGAGCAGGTGCTATGGACCTCTGTGCCTGAGATCCTAAGGCACAGATGGGCTGCCTGTGGTTCACAGGCAGCTCACATAGGCCTCCAGTGCATGCCACTATGGGTGCCCAAGCTGTCTCCACACACACTCTGGTTGCATTTTGTTGCCTGGTGCTCTGGCTGTTCCCTTGCAGTTGCACAGGTAGAGGTAGCCCTGCCAGTCAGAGCAGGCAAGCCTGGACAAATGGCAGCTTAACTATGGACAAAACAGACAGAATTCTGTGGATAAATAGCAGCTGGCTATGGTCTGTCTTGAGCCACAAAGCTGTTGGGCAACTCACCTTGACCTTCACCTAACCAGCCTTACAGGGTCATTGTGAGGACAGAATTGAAGCAAGATAGGAGTCCTTAGGAACTCTGTGTGTGTGTGTGTGTGTGTGTGTGTGTGTGTGTGTGTGTGTACACAGACACACACACATTAAAGAACAACACATGACCTTGTGAGGTAGGAAGGAAAGACGGAATTGGCTTCAGAGGGGGAAAGTCAACCTCTTGTGTAGCCTGACTGTTGCATTTATTTTTGGATGTTATGTTTGGCACTCCAGCGTTGGCACAGGAATGCGTTTCCAGGGGACGGACATTGTTGAGAGCGAGAGCACCACGCAACGGGGCCACTCCACCCCTTGGGTTATAATCCAGTTAAGTGCAGCCACTTCCTGGTGCTTTGTTTTTTTTAAAAAAAGAACAAAAGCATTCAACTTCACTGATTAAGCAATGGCCCAGACCACATAACGGTCATTTTACTTTCTGTTTTCTCTTCTCTGCACTTGGGATAGCATTGCAAAATTTCAACCGTTTCCTTCAGGCACTCTGAACATGGACTGCTGCAATAATACACTTCCTTTTGGCGTGTGCTTCTCATTCTGTGGAACATGACACACCTACTTACCTCTTCTCCAAACTTTCCAGGCATTTTCTAAGCTTTAAAGCTCTGTGTCCAAGCACTCCTCTCCTCCTCCTCCTCCTCCTCTTCTTCTTCTTGCTATTTGTTGTGCTTCAGCTTTAAAGAGCAGGTTTTTGAAGGGGGGAAAGCGCTTGGACACAGAGCTTTAAATTGAGGACCTCTGCCTGAAAGGTGTGCAACAAAAGGGAAGGGCGCATTATCCTAAGGGTCTGTCAGGGTGTAAATACTCCATGAACCAGTCTTCTCCTTCTATCACTCTATGAAGCACAGACACATCACTGGTGCTATATAAACAAGAAATACTATTAAGAACAGCCTTTATTCTTTGCACACTGTGCCAGTAACTCCTAGCTTGGGAGTGCAGTCAAATGAAAGTGAGGGAAGGCGAACAGGCTGAAGCTGAACCCAGACAAGACGGGGGTGATGTTGGGGAGGGGGGCAACTTTAGACATCACTGGTTGCCAGCTTGTTTCTGGCTCCAATTCAATTCGCTTGAGTGTTTAAAGCCCCAGATTTCCAAAAGTCTGCTTTCTTCCCTAAATAACCTCTGGAGTTGAGATCAGAGACAGGCCCTCTTAGTAATTCCACCACCCTCAGAAGTTATGGGTGGTGATGGTTCAGGAGAGGGCTTTCTCTGTGGCAGCCCCTAAGCTAAAAATTCCCTCCTGAACAAAGGTGTATATAGCACCATTATTATTTAGCTTTTGCCCCATATACATACAGTGGTACCTCGAGTTACATACGCTTCAGGTTACAGACTCCGCTAACCCAGAAATAGTACCTCGGGTTAAGAACTTTGCTTCAGGATGAGAACAGAAATCGTGTAGCAGCGGCGCAGCGGGAGGCCCCATTAGCTAAAGTGATGCTTCAGGTTAAGAACAGTTTCAGGTTAAGAACGGACCTCCAGAACAAATTAAGTACTTAACCCGAGGTACCACTATACACACACACACACACACAATCTAGGACCCAGGTGGCACCTTAAACCTGCCTTATGGTCACCACAATGGAATGTCTAGGTGCCTTTTTCCAATGAAGATGATGATGATGATGATTTCATTTCTATACCACTTTATGTTATTTATATTTTAAATAACAAATCTCAGCGCGGTTTACAAAACGTTAAAACATCAAATAAAACAATCTAGAACAAAACAAATTCAAGCTTCATGGAAAATATTTCAGGTCCTTCTCTGACATTTTGCTTTCCCCAGTCCCCAGAGATCTCCGCTTGTTTACAATTGGACCCACCCCAGTTGCAAAATGTGCCTGGCTATTTTCTATCCCTGCCTCCACTAATACTCTGACATGCAGTGGCATAGCGTGGGTTGCCAGTGCCTGGGACCGTGTGGAGGGGAGGGAGGAAAAGGACGGAGTACATGTGTGCATTCAACTGCCTAATGGCATCCATAACAACCAGGTGATCGCAGCCGCAGTGATAAGAAAATAAGAGCTGTTCTGTTGTCTGGAGAGGTTACTTCTTGCTTTGCACGCAGAAGCCGTTTTCAATGGAGCCCAGTGCCAGAAGTGCGCAGATGTATTGAGGCAGCACCAGGTGTTGAAATTTTGCATCCCCTAACAATTTTGCACCCAGGGCAACCACCCCCGTACCCCCACCACCATGCTATGCCACTGCTGATATGGTTGCAGGTCCTTCTTAGGCCAATACGTGTGACACATCTGCTCAATAGCTCACCCCAACGCCACAAACCCTACAGACTAACATCACAGAAATAAAGACAAGATTTGGAGTTGTGAACCTCTCATTTCCTCTGCCTTCAAAGTGCCAAGTTGACCCTCTAAGCCATCCTGAAGCCCCAACCCACAAAGCAGCAACTGCCCATGTCTGCTTAGACAAAGACACACATACACACACATCCCTTAAGTGGATTTTCTGCCTCAAACAGACAAGGCAGAGATTTGCTCAGGCATACTTTAAGCTAGGATTTCTCAAGAGCGGATAAAGAGAAGGATTTGCCTGTCTGGGCAAAGGCTGGATTCCACAGCTATAAAGCAGGGAAGGGAAGAGGCAGTGTATTGAGGAGGGTTCAGGATCCATCCTTCACCTTACATACTCCCATCCAGAACAGAGGCCCATTGAGTAACCCCAAGGCAAAATGAAGCCTCAACATCCACACACACAAAGAGAGAAGCACACACATGAGCTGGCTAGCCTGGCAGTATCTTCCCAAGGGCTAATACACAAATTATGCACAAAACCGCAAGACGTGGGTATACAAGAGTCAATCTGAGTTGCGTACACACTTTATGGCACATTTGAGGCGCGTGCGCGCGCGCGCACACACACACACAAATGCTAGGCACTGTTGATTGCTAAGGTTGGCCAGGAGAGATAAACTACAACTCTTTGAGGGAATGTGCTTCAAAGGTACAGCCTGTATGCAGCCTAAAATTAGCTTTCATTGTGGCTAAATGTCTAATATGCTTCAATACTGGAAGGAGAGGTCCACTCCTCCCACCCCGCAGTCACACAATGGACAGAAGACATGACTTGATGGGCAGCTTATGAGAAGGTGATCTTCCATAAGCACAAGGAAGATGGGGATCTCTCCGCTGCATGAACTCCATGTACAGATTAATTTGCTTGTACATCTGAGCACTGGGTGGGTCTGGGACCACCAGCTCTTCTGCCACCCAACCCACCCTAAATGTACGAATAGAATGTATTGTTTTGATTTATTGTGGTTTGTTTTGTATTGTTTGACTGTTCTTGGATTTGCATCTTTCTGGAAAATTCAATTTTAAAAAACCCTAAGTTTTGGACACACAATCCTGCATGCAAATAATAATACTAATGTTGTGTGCATGAGTATTATTTTCCTTAGAAGCTGCCAACATGCCCATCTTCAGCTGGGGGCTGCTCTCGTCCATTCAGTTCTCCCTCCAGCGCCTTCTGAAATCCAAATCCCTCCTGCTCTCCAGCTAACTCCCCTTCTCCCTACTACAGACTTTTTTTAGTGGCGCTTTCCAAGCAGTTTGCCTTACCTGCCCAGAGCAGAGACATTCTCCATGGCGCCTCCTTGCTTGCCGGACTCAGCTGCTGAAGGCTGTCGTTGTGTCGGCAAGCAACGGCAAGTATACAAGCTCCGAATCAGGAAGCTGGCAACTTTTAAAAAGGAGAATTCCTGGCAGGTCAACCTCAAGACCCACAGCCTTTGGGTGATCTCCTTAAGCTGCTCACCGGCAGACAGAAGAATGCCCTCTCCAACATGTGCAAGGCAGGGCACTGACAGCAGGGTGCCAAGAGCTCAGGAACACGAAGCACCTGCTGGTCTATAGCTATGAGAGCCAGGGGAGCAAAGGGTGCCCTCCATATGTTTTGAGATCCAATACCCATCTTCACGGGACGCGGGTGGCGCTGTGGTCTAAACCACTGAGCCTAGGGCTTGCCAGTCGAAAGGTCGGTGGTTCGAATCCCTGCGATGGGGTGAGCTCCTGTTGTTCAGTCCCTGCTCCTGTCAACCTAGCAGTTCGAAAGCACGTCAAAGTGCAAGTAGATAAATAGGTACCACTCTGGCGGGAAGGTAAACGGCGTTTCCGTGCGCTGCTCTGGTTCGCCAGAGGCGGCTTAGTCATGCTGGCCACATGACCCGGAAGCTCTCTGCAGAAAAACGCTGGCTCCCTCGGCCAATAAAGCGAGATGAGCGCGCAACCCCAGAGTCGTCCATGACTGGACCTAACAGTCAGGGGTACCTTTACCTTTACCCATCTTCACAGGCCATTAAAAGCCCTAAACGGCCTGTATACTTGAAGGAGCATCTCCACCACCAGTGTTCAGCCCAGACACTGAGGTCCAGCTCCAAGGGTCTTCTGGCAGTTCCCTCATTGCAAGAAGTGAAACTGCAGGGAGCGAGGCAGATGGCCCTCTCGGTAGTGGCACCCACCCCGTGCAATGCCCTCCCAGCAGATGTCAAAGAGTTAAACAACTATATAACTTTTCATAGACATCTGAAGACAGTCCTGTATAGTTTTTAATGTTTGATATTTTGGGCGGCTTCCAACACATATAAAATTTCAAAATTTAATAAAATTATTTATAAATTTATAAGTTTTAAAATAGAAAATAAAACCAGCTATCTTAAAACACTTATACTTACTAAAATCATATGTTTAAATTGCATGTCAAGATAGACTTGCTGGAAGAAAAAGGGTTTTAGCAGGCACTGAAAACAATACCGTGAAGGCGCTTGCCTAATATAAATGGGCAGGGAGTTCCATAGTGTAGGTGTTTGCACACTAAAGGTTGACTCCTTGCAAGTGTGAAATGAACATTAGGCGGCACCTATGAAAGTGGCAGTGAGACAGATCCCACGCTTGTTCCAAAGTGCTGATCATCCTGCCAGCCAAGAACCTCCTGCGAAAGTTGCTTCCAAAGCCATGCACATCTAACACGTGTCAATCTGAGCACAGTGTGCTGCAAAGAGGTGTACGCATCAGGCTATATAGGGCAAATATCAAGCATAACTTCTATCAGGCTTAAATCCAGATGGCTGCCAACAATCCGTCACCTTGGCACGCTAGAGAGAAAAGCAAAGAGCCTTAATCTGATCACCAGGCAATCTGATTAAGGCAGTGGGCAGAGATGGAGAGACACGCCTTGTTCCTGTACCAATATGACAATTTGATATGTACATCTGAACAAAGAAACCATTGAGATCTCCCTGGTGGAAAAGGTTAGCATGGATAATGAATCGTAAGAGTAAAAGCACACATTGCGTTTATGCAGCATTTTCCATGACAGCTCAAACGGCCTCATGTCCAGTTTCTCAGGAATTCATTAACAACAACCTAGAAAGGCAGTCCAGCATCGTTATCCTCATTTTACAGAGCAGGGCTTGAGAACGTGACAATGGTGACTTGCCTAGGACTACCTAGTGAAGGAGCTGTGAACCTGTAGCCTTCCAGATTGCTGAACCAATTGTGGTGGTACTGAAATGCATAGACTGCAACAGCCAGAAAGGTTGGGTTGCTAGAGGTAACCAGGGTGATGGGAGTTGTAGTCCACAACATCAGGAGAATACCATGTTGACTACCCAGGGCTAGAGAACCAACTAGGACTAGGGAGACTTGGCTTCAAATCCTTGCTCAGCTGGCAGTGGGGAGAATATCATCATTTCTCTATCCAACGTATGCCATAAAGATAAAAAAGAGGGAGAACCACAACCTGCGTTCTTCAAAGGAAGGCTGGAGGTAGAGTAACAATACACCAACAACAAAAGGTGCCCCTATGCTAGCTAGTCAGACCACCAGTCACTGCCCAATAGCAGCCCTCCCTAGCCCCCCCCCCATGGCCTCAGCCCAGGATACCTGAAGAAGAAGGAGAGGAGGAGGAGGAGTTGGGATTTGATATCCTGCTTTATCACTACCCGAAGGAGTCTCAAAGCGGCTAACATTCTCCTTTCCCTTCCTCCCCCACAACAAACACTCTGTGAGGTGAGTGAGGTTGAGAGACTTCAGAGAAGTATGACTGGCCCAAGGTCACCCAGCAGCTGCATGTGGAGGAGCGGAGATGCGAACCTGGTTCACCAGATTACGAGTCTACTGCTCTTAACCACTACACCACACTGGCTCTGAAGGAGTGTCTCCACCCCAATCGTTCAGCCTGGACTCTGAGGTCCAGCTCTGAGGGCCTTCTGGTAGTTCCCTCACTGCGAGAAGCCAAGTTACAGGGAACCAGGCAGAGGGCCTTCTCGGTAGTGGCGCCCGCCCTGTGGAACACCCTCCCATCAAATGTCAAAGAAATGAACAACTATCTGACTTTTAGAAGACATCTGAAGACAGCCCTGTTTAGGGAAGTTTTTAATGTTTGATGTTTTATTGTATTTTTAATATTTTGTTGGAAGCCGTCCAGAGTGCCAGGGGAGACCCAGTCAGATGGGCGGGGTATAAATAAATTATTATTATTATTATTATTATTATTATTATTATTATTATTATTCCTAACCTGCAAGAATTCAAACAATCCTTGAAAGTGCCATACCATTGGCCGCCACACCACAAGTCATATTCTACAACAGTTCTTCCAAGGGCCAGCCCTACCATTAATCAAGGTGACAATAGATGATGTGCGTTGGGGAAAAGTGATTAGGTGCTGGATAACAGATCTGTGGGCCAATGGCGGATTGCCATGCACCCTCTATCTACCAGGGGTCAGCAAACTTTTTCAACAGGGGGCCGGTCCACAGTCCCTCAGGCCTTGTGGGGGGCCAGACTATATTTTGAAAAAATAATAATGAACGAATTCCTACGCCCCACAAATAACCCAGAGATGCATTTTAAATAAAAGCACCCATTCTACTCATGTAAAAACACGCTGATTCCCAGACCATCCACGGGCCGGACTGAGAAGCCGATTGGGCCAGATCCGGCCCCCGGGCCTTAGTTTGCCTACCCATGATCTAAGCCAGCCAGTTGCTGTCACATATGGCGAAGGATGCCGTTTCATCCCCAGCACTGAAGGAAGACGCTTTGCTTTCTTCTCCTTAAAATCTAAAGCCTATTCATTGCATTGAACGTTTTCCTGTCTCCTTATATTTTTAGAAATGGTTAAACAAGAACAAGACTCCATTCACTTTGGATGGTCCTGAGGTAAGTCCACAGGACACAGAAGATTCATTTCTCCCTTCTCAGGCAGGAAGCCAGCGAAGAGGGAGGGAGTCAATGCTGGATCTCTAGCCAAGTAAAATCAGTACACAGATTGCCTGGGTTTGGGGCGGTATCCTCATCCAGCAGCTCCCACTGAATCTCTTTTGGGTACTTCCATTTAGCCAAATTTAGCCAAGGAATAGCCCAACCCAAGGCCACATTTTAAAATTTAAAAAACCCCAGAAACAACAGCACAAAACCTTACGCATTCAAAAACAACACCACAAAGCAGAGAGAGCCTTGACCTTTTGCTATCCCACACTACAAGCCCATGCTGGCTGGGGCTGATGAAATCCAGCAACATATGGAGGGCCAAAAGCCACTCATTTCTGTCCTAAAAGCTACTTTAAGGCTGCCTCATTCTGAGCTATCTGAATACTTACACAAACAAGCTTTTAATGTGGCCTTGGATGCGCAGGAAACCACTTTTTGATCAAACTGCAAATCCATCTGCCAGCTTTTGCCCTCATTTCAAATTCCAAGCGCTTTTCTAAAAGCACTTATTTGTATTACTTTTTTTAATTGTACATGCTGTAATCAACAACATTGTGTGTGTGTGTGTGCGTACACACACACGGTATGGAGTACAGCATGGACTTGCCCTTTAGTACCTTTTCAATGTGAAACTTTGCCACAGTCCATCACCTTTTGCAGCAAAACTCGATTCTCTATGCTGGCAACCCTTTGCTTTATTCTTCCAGATGGCCCATTGCTAGCTTCCTGCCTAGATGCTTCACCGTACGAACTTTGCCCAGTCATGCCATGCATTTATCACCCAGGACCACTTCTTCTCACACAAACACCAGGAGGATATTTCCGTTGTCAGGCCCAGTGGTTTTTTTTATTAACTGCTTGGAGGAGGGAATGGGGGGGGAGATGCTTAACAGATTTGCATAGAGGGGACCAAAATTTAAAACCCTCTTGACAGGCTGGGACACCAGGCTGAAAAAAACCAACGTGTGATATTCTTTTTTTATGTTTTACAAATGTAATTCCTGCGTTGATTTTGCCTCTGTCTTCTCCCAAAAGGAGAGCAATGCCCAACCTGCAGATAACATAATAAATGACGTAAGGAGGGAGCTGCAGCCCAAGATAGGAAAGGAGGTGGTAAGGGAACACCTAACTTCTATAAATTAAATCAAATCTCCAGGGTCTGATGAGCTGCACCCAAGGGTACTAAAGGAGCCAGCGAATATAAGCTCAGAGCCTCTGCCTATGATCTTGGAGAATTTTTGGAGAACAGAGGAGGTCCCTACAGACTAGAGGTGGGCAAATGTTGTCCCCATCTTCAAAAAGACCCAGGAAACTACCAACCAGTAAACTTGACATTGATAGAGACAAATATAAGGTTCTGCATTTAGGCAGGAAGAATATAAGATCGGGGACACCTGGCTTACTAGTAGTACAGTGGTACCTCCAGTTGCGGACGGGATCCATTCCGGTGTTCCGGCCAGATCCTGAGGTTTTCGTAACCGGAGAGACCACTTCTGCGCATGTGCACACGACCAAAACCCAGAAATATACTTCCGGGTTTGCTGCTTACGTATCCCGAAGTTTACGTAACCGGAGGGATACGTAAGCGGAGGTACAACTGTACATGTGAAAGGGTTTTAGTGGATCACAAGCTTAACATGAGTCAACAGTGTGATAAAGCAGCAAAAAAGTTAATGCCATTCTAGGCTGCATCAACAGAAGTTTAGTATCCAGATCAAGGGAAGTAATAGTACCACTCTATTCTGCCTTGGTCAGGCCACACCTGGAATACTGTGTCCAGTTCTGGGCAGCATAATTTAAGAAGGACGTTGACAAGCTGGAATGTGTGCAGAGGAGGGCAACCAAGATGATCAAAAGTGCTGCAGGATGAGGGATGCAGTTTGGCCTAACTGTAAGTGGAAAGGATCTAGTAACTTTTTATTGGGTTTTATAAACAAGGATCATAGGAATAATAAATAAACACTGAAGTCTCACATCAGTTGTACATAACAAAAATAGCATAATAAATTTTCAGCAATATCTACAACATATGGTGCATTATTAGTGGTCAATGTATAGGTTCTTGGTTTGTCATTTGATTTAAACAAAAACAAAGGGGAAACAGGATAGAACAGAATTAACAGATAACACTCAACATTGCAAAGCTAAATGCCCAGTCAGGAGCCCTTGTGATTGTGTTTAAATTAAGTATGAGCAATAATCATTTTTCCTCTTATGTTAGTAATGAAACAATATACAGGCAACTCCCATTTTGCACACGTTCAAAGAACGCACGACCGTGCATGCGCACATCACCGCAACCTGGAAGTGGCTGGGAAAGGGGGCGGGGAGAGGGCATAAGAGGGCAGAGTGGGTTTATATGCGTGTGGGTCAGGAACTCAACTCCCGTGCAAAACGGTCATTGCCTGTAAAGTGTTGGTGTATTGATGAACATGGAAGCGGGGTTCAAATATAATAATTTATGTTTAAATTTAAATTTAGATCAAGCAGACTGAGCCAAATGCGGGAGGCGGAGGGTTGTTCATTTTTTGGAGTACTGGCATATGTTATGCAATAAAATCACACAGGGGTAAAGCCATCTTTCTTGATCTGTTCACGTGTCAACCACACTTTATTTGTTAATCTCTCCAGGAGAGCTGTTTCCCAAACTGTTTTGTGTCAGTTGTCGATCGTTGTGCCAGAAAGGCATTTCCAGTACAGTATCTGGTTATGTTGGGTCTCGTCATTTGTAATAAATGGCTTATTAATTCTTTATTATGTGAATCCAGATTGTTGTCTAGAAATATATTTAATAAAGCTAATTCTGGTTTGACTTTCCAGTTGTTGTTTTTGTTATGTTATTAATTTCTTTTGGATTCCAGAATCCAAAACTATTGGATTCCAGAAAGGCTGTCCAGGTGGTCTTTGTTTATTCCAAGCTGAACATGAGCCAGACGTACTATTTTAGACAGCATTCTAGCCACAAGAGGCAGCCTCAGAGCCACCCAGAACAACACAAAGTAACACAATATACAATTTTAAAAATGCAAAACAATTACAAGAATGACTCGCTCATTCTTTGCTTTGAGAGCATCCCAGTGACCTCTGTGCTCAAATTTCCCATTCTGCCAAGCAAAGCTGGTTTTCATTTTCAAAAACTGGCAAAAACATTTCACCACGCACAAAACCCTGTAACACTAAGACAGTAGCAATTTAATGCCATCAGCCCCCCAAACGCAACCCGAAATCAAGGGTGATGTGGTTACATAAACACATCAGAGGCATACCAAGGCTTAAAACTAAGGCCGATATATTTTTCCCGTTTTTAGAACACCAAGTTCATCCTGATTAGGAGGCCAACAGCTGTTGGCCTCATTCCGCAAAAGGCTGCCGGCTGACTGGCTGAGCCCTCAAAATATACCCATCCTCATCGCTGCATCTTGCCCGCAAGAATTTCAGAACCGATTCACAGATGGCCCCCTCCCACAGGGAGATGAAGATGCACAACTCATTTCCCAAATCTGAAGGACCACCTGCTCCCGCAGGAACCTACCCGTATCTTAAGTTGGGTATTAGGGGCTGTGATCTAGGTCGGCTCAGAGGTTTGGACTAGGAGTGTTAGCTAGCAGGGAGATGGCTTTCCTTGTGGCAATGTCCACTTGTGGAAATTCCCTTTCCACAGCAAGCCTCCTGGCGCCCGCTTTACGAGCATTTAGGACCTGGATTTAAAAAAAACAGTTACCCACAGACAGTGCTATTTTTCTAGAAAAAAGAGGTGCCAGAACTCACCATGAATTGTCCTCTCATAATGGCAATGGCACCCACCTGAAAGGGGCCGGAACTGAGTTCCGGGGCATTCCGGCTGGAAAAAAGCCCTGCCCACAAATTCAGTGGTATTAGGATTACGTTGCTAGTGGGGAGTTTTGGTGACTGTTTCTCATTTGCAGGTGGAAGATGAGCACTCCTGCATGGCTGTTATATTCTGGGAGGGCCCATTCAGAGATGGAGAACCAGTGGCCCTCCAGATTCCCATCAGCCCCAGAGTCAAGTCTGAGGGGAGTTTTAGTCCAGCTGCATCTGAACAACCACAGCCTAGGCAGACTTTTGGGGTGGATCCAGTAGGGCAGCTGTTAAGGTTGTAATGAATTTAGGTTTTAATAATGTATTTATTTATATACCCCCTGACAGGACTCAAGACAGCTGATAAGAACCGGGGGAAACAAGCATTAATAAACAATTAAAAATTGAAAAAATTAAAATTATATACATATATAAAGCCTAAGAAAACCAAGAATTACGATACTTTAAAAACAGAACGGCACCAGCCAGTGTTAGTAACTCAAATATACAATCTAATTGCCAAATGGCACCTTAAACCTCGGTTATGGTAGCCACAATGGAATGTCTAAGTGCCTTTTTTCCAACAATGTTGTTGTTGTTGTTGTTGTTGTTTCATTTCTGTACCACTTTATATTTTAAAGAACAGATCTCAAAGCAGTTTACAACACATTGAAACATCAAATAAAACCATCCAGAATAAATTAGAGTCAAGCTTCAAGGAAAATATTTCAGATCCTTCTCAAAAGGATATTTTGCTTTCCCCAGTCGCCAGCCTGGCATCCAGAGATCTCCACGTGGTCGCAGTTGGACCCGTGCCAGTCACAAAGTGCGCCTGGCACCTGGCTATATTCTGTCGCTGAAAACCTCAGTCTACATGGCCAACCGTCAGGGGTGATGGGAGCTGCAGTCCAGCAACCACGGGTTAGGTAAAGGTAAAGGGACCCCTGACCATTAGGTCCAGTCGTGACCGACTCTGGGGTTGCGGCGCTCATCTCGCTTTATTGGCCAAGGGAGCCGGTGTACAGCTTCCGGGTCATGTGGCCAGCAGGACTAAGCCGCTTCTGGCAAACCAGAGCAGCGCACGGAAACACCGTTTACCTTCCCACCGGAGTGGTACCTATTGATCTACTTGCACTTTGAGGCGCTTTCAAACTGCTAGGTGGGCAGGAGCAGGAACCGAGCAACGGGAGCTCATCCCGTCGCGGGGATTCGAACCGCCGACCTTCTGGTCGGCAAGTCCTAGGCACTGTGCTTTATCCCACAGCGCCACCCGTATCCCTAACCACGGGTTAGCCACCCATAGAAAATGAATGTGGGAAGCAGCTCCTCATCAGAGAACCATCCTCCCTGGCTTCTCCGAGAACATAGCAAGGCAGCTTATGCAAGAGACCTGCCCGACAGAGTCCCAGTCAAGCTGTCGGCAGCCCGTCACGTTGCTGCATGTTGAGTCAAACTCCCAGGAGAGGTTTGCTGGAGAATGCCCACGCCAGGTCCCGAGAGTTTCGCGCAGCCAGCCTGAATTTCCGAGACACAGCCCTCATTCAGCAGTGACCTCATTTCCTTGCTCTAGATGGGTACGGCTGCATTGCCCCAGCCTGCATTCCAGTGGAAATTGTTTGCGTGCGGATTCGGAGAAATGCTACGCTTCTCTACAGCCGGAGGCGGGGGACGGACACACACAGACACACGCAGCAAGCAAGGGCATCCTTTGTTGGCGAAATCATGCTCAGAACGAGGGCAGTGAAGACTTGACAAGTCACACTGCGCTCCTCCTTAAAGCACGGCAAATATGAAATAACTGAAATGCTAAAGGCAGCTTTTTGAGTCATATTTATTCACAGGGAGTTGGGGGGGGTGTTGCAGGGGGTGGGGCTATGCTAGCAAGGAAGAAAAAGGCTAAGCAAAGTCCCTTTTTGTAGGGATCCGAGGCAGGCAAGAAAAATATTATATAGCAAGTGGGTCTGCAACAAAATGCCAAGAGTCTGTGCAGGGTGCCAGCCAGCCAATGAATGCTAACCGCTCTCAGGATATTCCCAGTTCATTGCCGTTTTCTTTCTCCACCCCAAAACTCTCTGTCAGTATTCCAGCTTACTGAGCATGCTCAGTTCTTATCAGGCTGTCTCCCCAATATTCGATCACCCCCATGTTATACCATACTCTCCCCAATGCTGAGGTGAAAAAACAGGGCACACGTCTTCTGGGGCAACGCTCGTGCACAAGTCACATGGCCCACGCAAGATCACAGCCCCAAAAGGTGTGTTTTCTTCAGGGCACTCAAAAATGCGCATTTTGGGTCACCACCTGAGATTGCGGCCCTGAAAATTGCACTTTTACAGTGTGAGATGGTGTGAGGTCATGGCGCCCAAAATGGCTGCCGTGCTCTCACACAAAAACCCTCCAGGATAACCTGGTTTTACCAGGACAGTTGAGGGGTAAGTTGTACTGCTGCAAATCTGCAAATGCTGAGCTCCCATGTGCTTGCTTACACCTTCCTCATTTTGGCTACACAGGGGTTCACACTCAAATAATGAGTCCAATATTAATTGAACTCATAGGAGGGGTAGTCAATGTGGTCCCCTCAAGATGTTATTGGACTACAACCCCTATCAGCCCCAGCTATGGCTTATGGCTGGGGATGATGGGACTTGTAGTCAAAGTATATTTGGATGGTACCATGTTGGCCACCTCTGGTACATCTCCATTAGCCCGCCACCGCCCCCCCAATTATGGGTGCTTTATTTTTTTTTCCTTCAGCCCTCACTTCTGCCTCCTCCTAAACAGCCAGATATTCATAAAATAAGAATATATTTCTGTAGACACCACTGCAATCTCTGAGTTGTGAGAGATTCCAGGGATTCCAAGCACTTACCCAGGGCTTATGTTTTCTTTGCAAATGAGGCACAGTGGAAACTGTGCTATCATTATGATATATGGTTTATTTACACACATATACAACCTGAGCCAGCGATGGAGGGGCTGCCAGCATTACACTCCAAAGCGTCTTGCTTCTCCCATAGCTCTGACTCTGCTCAGCTTGCTGCATTTAAGACATCCACTTTTCTCTCCAGCTTGCTGATGCTTACAGCCTTCAACTATTTTTCCTCCATCTCACATCATCCCCAACTGCAATCCCAAGACTCAACTCTGCTTTGTCTCTAACTATCTCTCCCTTGAAGGAGGGGCTCAGACCCATCTACTGGCACAGAGTATTTGCTTTGTTAATCGCCCATTACCTTCCTTTTGTTCTCCGTAATGGCTCTTCTCCCAGGCAATTTCCTGAACGGGAAACTGGTTTCACCTGTATTTTAACACTTTGCTAAATCCAGCACCTGGCAGCCCATTTTAATACTCCAACCACTGATTAAACTCCATCACCCACTAGACCCAGGAATTTTGGGGGTGGATCTAGCACCCAGGAGTTTTATCCTTTTTCCTTCAGCCTTCCCTTCTGTCTTCTCCTAACAGTCACAGATTAATAAAATAAGAATACACTTCGCTAAGGCCCCCCAGTGAATACCTTCCCCCTAAAACTACCAAGAACACAGAATACAGCAATTGCTTTGAAATAAGGACTTTACCTTTGGCAAAGCATGTCTTACACCAATAGGATATAGCAATAGCTACAAGTATGGGCAATATTCATCCTGCTTCCTAGGCAGCGTACAGACTGTTACTTCTATGGAGCAATGGGACTGAGTTCTTCTTTAGCTGTTACCATGCCAAAGGCTCTGATCCAGCATAACCCTCACTACACAAAACACAAGAGGGGGAAGGACAGAGCCTCACTACAGCGGCTGAATGTTCCTTGGGCTTTCCTAATTACAACTGCTGCTCTTAGCCACTTTCATAAACAGTGATGAAGTAACCTGAACCAGATGGGCAAGCAACTTCTGATCTAATCAATTTAACTCCTAACGATTTCTATTGATTTTTTAGTCCTTGGACAGCAGTGCATTCCTGCAAGGTGTTGCTAGGTTCATTTTTCTAATGCACCACACAAGAACTTCAATGTCCATCCTTTCGGGTGTTTTTAAAAAACCAAATTGCTCTAGGATCTATAAATTATATGGAGACAGCAGAAGAAGGCCTCAGTCATGGGTATAATTCCGACAACCACAATGCTCACACAAAAATGTGAATGTCTCTTGCTGCTGTACTCAGGTCACCTCTGAGAGCTCGTTTTGGTTTTCCTCAGGTATGTCTTGGAAGTGCAACAGAAACCTGCCAAACTGGTTCGACCAAAGAACTTGGTGGGATCTTAAAAAATGAGCGCATATGAAGGATAGCTGTACAGGACAGGGTTGGCAGCAGCTGATCTAGGGAAGGTCGGAGCGAGCTGCTCATGACTGGGACCTTCCAAAGTTGACTGGGTTGTGTGTGCAGAGGGAATGGCAGTGGGAGGCTGCAGTAGCGATGCACCACAGATGGTTCCCCACCTCAACTTTGCATGCAGAGGGCGCCAGGTTCAATCCTTGGGATCCCCAGTTAAGGCTGGGAATGTCCCCAGTCTGCAACCCTGGAAAGCCTCTACCAATCCATGCAGACAACACTGAGCTGCACGGACCAATGGCCTGACTCGGTATAAGGCAGGTCCTCATGCTCCTGTGGATGATGAAAGCAGCACCAGACTCCTGGCACTCCCTCAGCCCAAAGTGGCAGAGAGAAAGGGTGGAGGAGGCAGCTACAGTGGCCATCTTCATTATCCCAAATGCCTCTGGGCCCCACCTCCAACACTGTGTGCATCCAAGGCAGGGCTAAGAGATATTAGGAGTAATTAAGACGGCAGCAGCTTCTGACACATGGCCTGGTGCTTCTCATCACAATGGAGGACCATGAAAAATTCTAAAATTCATGGACTTTTGGCCCAATGCAGCAGGACTTGTTATGTGCCAGGGTGGATTTGATTTAAATCAAATCGATTTAAATCACAATTTAAATCATTAGTCAGTAAGACTTGATTTAAATCATTTTTTTACAGAAAGACTCATTCTTAATATTTACAACCGGATGAAGGTTTCATTTTTGGAATAATAAATGTTCAGAGTAGTTTTTACAGTTATATCAAACATTACTGATTTGGTTATACTATTAGAAATACATAGACCGATAATTATGAAATTATTGTGAGGTTTAATAAGTTAACTGTTTATATTTGGACAACTTTTCTGCTGTACGTTATTGGAAGGAGAAAAATAATTATTTACTTAATAACAATTTAAACAATTTATTTAACTAAAACAATAACATCATAGCATATGTATCCATGTTTGTTAACTGATGTGGTTAAACGGTTTTTTAAAAAAAAAAACTTAAGACTGAGTTTTAGCACACATGAAAAACGTAAAACAAATCCTTATTTCCTGATGAATAGCCTTTGGACTATAATGTAGCTTAAACAGAAAACTATCTTTAGAAAGATTTTTCCTCCAAAAGCATTTTATTTGAAAAATCTGATTTAAATTTAAAAAATCTGATTTAAATCAAAAAATCTGATTTTTGTATTTTTTTAAAAGAAAAAACATTGATTATATGCCGTTATATGCAGTGTTATAACCTCAGATATACAAGCCAAATGGCGCCTTCAATCTAGGTTACAGCTGCCACGAAGAAATGCCTATTCGCCAGGTGATCGAGCTAGATGACCTTTGGAGTCTCATCCAATGCTACAATTCTACAATTCTACAATTCTCAACTACACTGCTTGACTTGTAGCTTGCTCCTACAACCATTCACTTGTCCCAGGATGAAAGAAGGAGGAACACACACAGAGGAAATTGAAGCAATATTTCTGATGAACTAATACAAAGGTTTTTAAACTGCGGTCACCAATCCGGTGTCCAGAAATCTCCAGGTAGTTACAACTGGACCCACGCCGGAAGCAAAACACACCTGGCACCTGGGGAACTTCGAACACTGGTCATATGTTCTCAAAAGGCGATCGCTATAGTCTTCCATGGATGGATCCCAAGTTATTCATCCACCGCTCACACGTGCTAGCAACAACGATAAACATTTGGGAGGAAGTGGCCACATTCAAGAATCTGGGGTCATTTAAGACAAGACATTGATCAGAATTGACGTAGGCAAACGTCATAGCCGGTACGTACCCAGGTTAGGAACACAGGAAGATGCCTTGTAGCATCGGCCCATCCAATTCAGTATCATCTGTGTTAAAGCTCATCTGCCCAGAATTTGGGAGAGAAGTTTTTCTGAGCCTTACCTGGAATTTCTTCAGGCACAGCATGTGGCTCTAGTACTCTACAACAGTACTTCTACAAACCTAGATCTCCAAATATTCTAGGGGGGTTCCCCAGCAATTTGCCAGCCGGCCAAGCAAAACAATCAAATTTTCTAAGACAATACAGACCAGACTGGCATCCAATAATCAAATCAACCTGGGAAACTGGGACCTACTGCCGTTGTTTTGGCACTGGGGGTGGAGGCATTGCCCACCTACAGAGAGCAATTAAGTCCCACCTCCAAGCCTCTGTTACTTTGCTTTGCCACCATCAAAAGCAGCTTCTGGACACAGCTACAGAGACAAAGCTACATTCAGCGGAGAGCCAAGTGGACAAGATGTTTGGAAACATACAGTCCTTTGGGAGAGCTGCAGCCACCCTGCATAGCTTTCCCTCCAAACTTCAAGGTCACGCGATGCCCCGGTTTCTCATATCCCAGCATATGTCACAGGGGGAAAAGAAAGCACTCTGGCAAGCAGCGGGGTGGGGGAAGAGCGAAACACCAAAAATAATTAGCATGCCCTAGTGTAGCAAAAGACAGCACAGCAAAAGGAAAGAAAAGGAGGGGAGGTGGAGGGAAATCAGACATTCTGTCCTCACTGGCAGAGATAGATGTGTAATAGTGCAAAGCAAACAATGCCGGGCCTGTTAGAGCAGAGAACGGCAGGCCTCCCAGACGGTCTCATCCACGCAATCCCACCCAGGGCAGGGGGAAGAATTTCCAGAATCATGCCATAAAGAGCTTCGTCAGCTGGCAGCCCCAGGAACCTGGCAAATCTAACCTGCAGATGACCCAAAGGAGAGGCAAATCGAAAGGGAACGGGGGGGGGGGGCAGAGGGTGATGAGGCAGCACAGGCTCCCCAAGCACCAGCTGAAGTGAGAGCATAACTGCACTCCCTGAAATAAAAGTTGTCTAACTCACCAGACACAGGCTTACAAAACTTCCACCTGGGAATCATTAACATACAGAAGCCCGCATGTGTCTGCTGCAAAACACGCCTCACTCGTCTCCCGTGACCTTCCCTGTTGGGCTCTAGGGAATCAGAAACGGCAGAAGCTTCCTCGTCAGTTTAGTTCTCCAACTCAGCAGCAACAAAGCCAGGATTGTGTATGGAGAAATGGCAAGACACCACGGCTTCCAAATCTGCCACTCAACCTCTCCCTGCCCAACACGGCCGTATGATGCAATTTTAGCAACTGGGACATGTGTCTCTGGACAGCAGGCATCGCTCTTAAACCTGGAGGGGAGTTGGGCATTGACAGGAAGCATCAAGGCTTTAATTCCAGAGTTAAAAGAAACTTTTTAGCAATAGATCAAGCATCCAAAAAGGCCACCAGATCCAAATATTTTTAGAAGTGTTCCTTGCTATCTTGCAGAAGCACCCGAGTCCAGACATCATCGGCTCATCTCCAAAAACTGAACTCATTCTTGCAGCCTGTTCATCCTCATAATGTCCTAGCTTTGTAAGAGTGAAAAGGGTTAGGATCCAGCCCTCTGCTCTGATTATTATTTACAATATTTCTGACCCACACCTCATCATTCATGACCCCAGAACAACCACAAACAATCATTCCATGTCACAAAAACAACAGAGCAGATAAAATATCATAATCAGAATACACCAAACATTAAGAATCTTTAAGACTGCAGCACAGCTCCTAACTTCTATCACAAGGCTGGCTGAATTAGCATCCTCCAAAAGCTTGAGTAGATAGATCCGCCTTAAGTTGGTGCCAAAAGAAAAAGAATCAGCAACAACCGTATCACTGGAAAGAATGCACCCTGTAAACAGGGTGCCAACACAGAGAAGGCCTTTGAGAATTGTGCCTGAATCGACTGGCTCACCAATTGAGTGACATCAAGCAAGTAGTCTCTCAACTATAATTCTCTCATCAGCAAAACAGGTTTTTTGTTTATTTATTTTAACTATCCTACTACACCAGGTAGTGCAAACAAATGTTCCCAAACCCCCAAGGGATAATTTCTGAAACGTCCTGCTGCAATTTAATCAGCTTTCACACGCACTCTGGCAGTAATCAGCACAATAACCTTATTTATTAAATTGCATTTCGGTCCCATCTTTCCTCCCAGGAGGACAGGGCAATGTATGTATGTTCCCACTCTAACCCCGTGTGCATTTTACCATCACAACAACCCTGTGAGGTAGGTTAGGATATGAACAGCCTACAGAGTGGGCTTCACAAAGGAAGTGGGTGGGACTGGGTCTCCCCTGTCACTACACCACACAGGCCTTCTTCAGAATAAAGCTAAGGAACCCACAGGCCTCCACGTATCGCTAGACAACAACTCTCATTATTCTTGATTGTCAACAACATCCAGAGTGCCACAGTTTCCCCATCCTGGCTTTAGAGAGGAAAACCTGCTATAGCAGCAGCTGGGATCCCATTGGCAAGGGGGAATTATCCTGTGCTATAGGAGTTAAGACTGGGCAACACTGCCCCCCCAGGCCTAGAGACCCACACCAAGGTTGTTGAGGAGTGGCCCCTTCAGACTCTGGCTACCATCAGGGAGAGACCCACACCAAGGCCCTCTCTTACCAGGCTCAGTCCCTGACAGGATGCTGCCACAGCCCTAGTCATGCAGATGCAACTTCATTGGGTACTTGGTGGTGCCATCAAGGCAGGACTTTAGGGCAGAAGTACAAGGGCCCCACGCAGCAGAATGAGCAAATGGGATCCACCTGTTATAATTATTAACTACACACCCTTCGCAATTAGTTGAGATTCCTGCATGGCGGCGGGTTGGACTAGATGACCCTAGAGACCCCTTTCCGACTCTACAATTCCATCATTCCTAAGGTCTCAGGAAATCACAATATGTAAAGGCATTTTAAAGCAGCTTGCAGTCAGGAAAAGCAACGCAGCAGCGATTCTGGGCGGCTTGTCACAGTTTCAACGACCACCTAAAGCAGCCCCCGTTTCCCCCTTCGGCCCCCAAGGCCAGCCCAGGGTCTCAAACGCCGGTTTGGCACCGGCCCGCGCCTCCCTCCCGACCCCCGTCAGGCGTGCCGCCCCTTACCCTTTCCTCGAGGGGCTGCCCTGGCCCAAAAGGTTCCAGACGACGGCATAAGCCAAGGCGCCAGCGAAGCTCCCCGCCTCTATCCCACCAGCGCTCCGATCCAGGAGAGACGAGCCTGGAGGGAAACCGTTTGCGCTGATCAGAACGAGGGCGAAGGCAGGAGCCGCCGGGTCCCGCTCTCTCCCCAGGCCGACCCTGGGCACGTAGAAGGCGCGGGGAAAGGGCTGCTGCTCCCCCGGCTCCCGAGCCCCAGGCGGGCAGCAGCAGGACAGGGAGCCCCCCGCCCGCCTGCCCGAGGCGCGTCCCAGCCGAGGAGCCTCTTTCCCCGCGCCCGGGTCCCAGCCACGCATCCCTCCCGCGTTCCCACGTGCAGTCTGACACGGGGATGATGTAACCCGCATACCTGCCCGGCGGCCCCTCGCGATCCCCCCTCCGCGGAGCCGTCATTCCCGGCAGCTCGCGATCGCCCGGCACTGGCCACGCCCACTCGCCAGCCTATTGGCGGTAGCAGCGGCGGCGGCGGCGTGGCCCTCCCTCCCCGAGTGCGCGCGCTATCCCAACCTCGCGCTCTCATTGGCTTGCTCGCTGACCCTCCACGCGAAGTCCCTCCCACCGGGTTTGGGCGGGGTGCGCAGCGGCGGCGGCGGTGTCGCTTCTTAAAGGGGACGCGTCCTGTGCTCGACGGGGCGGAGATCTTTCCGGTGATAAGGGAATGTGGGGTTGGTGACGTGTCGTGGGTTTGCGCTCCGGATGAGAAACTCTGGTAGCAACATCCTTATGCAGTTCGGTGGGATCCACTCTTATGTGAGTGTGCAAAAGATTGCAGCCCTGCAGCCTGAGCCTTTTGAGGTTTACTCGGAAGTAAGTCCGATCGCAGTGGGACTTGCTGTGGGACCAAGCAAAGGAAGCCGCAACCCGGCTTGTGCATGTTTACTAAATGGCCCGGAAAAACGTGGGCTCCCTCCGCCAGTAAAGCGAGATGAGCGCCGCAACCCCAGAGTGGTTTGCGACTGGACTTAACTTTCAGGGGTCCTTTACCTTTACCTTTACCTTTAAGTACTTTAGGTAAAGATAAAGGGACCCCTGACCATTAGGTCCAGTCGTGGCCAACTCTGGGGTTGCGGCGCTCATCTCACTTTACTGGCTGAGGGAGCCAGCGTTTGTTCTCAGACAGCTTCTGGGTCATGTGGCCAGCATGACTAAGCCGCTTCTGGTGAACCAGAGCAGTGCACGGAAACGCCGTTTACCTTCCCGCCAGAGCGGTACCTATTTATCTACTTGCACTTTGAGGTGCTTTATAACTTCTAGGTTGGCAGGAGCAGGGACCGAGCAACGGGCGCTCACCCCGTTGCAGGGATTCAAACCGCTGACCTTCTGATCGGCAAGTCCTAGGCTCTGTGGTTTAACCCACAGCGCCAGTTAAATGGGCCTTATTCCCAATTGAAAAACAATGAAGAATCACGTGACACCATAAAGACTGACATGAACATTTGGGGACTAAAGTCCACTGCATCAGAAGAGCAATCCTCATATGAATATATTTATAGTATATAAATGCACATGGGTGTAAAAGAAAACAGTCTTCAAGTTTGATGTTAAAGGGCACTAATATGCAAAAAGGACAGATTCTCATCGCATCCACACGGCTGACCCCAAGAATCCTGGGAGCTGTAGTTTGGTAAGGGTGCTGGGAATTATAGCTCCGAGAAGGGTTCACTACAGTTCCCATGGTTGTTTGCGGGGAAGCCACGTGCTTCCCATGTGGTGTGGAGGTGACCATTCAGTGGCCTCCCTCAACTGTCCTTCCTGGTGGCTGCCATTTTGTCAGGAGAGAAAGCTCTGCTGAAGAACCAGCTACATGTGACTCCTCCCATCCTTGAACTGTTTCTGTTCCACTGTGCACTGCACTGCAGATGACCTCAGAGACCGCCTTCCATGAGTCCACTGACGCCTGCAACCACGTCACAACATGCCCCATTCAAAGTAGGTCAGAGTTGAGTGAGTTGACTACACACCTGGATAGCTCAGTCACAGAGCATGAGACTCTTAATCTCAGTGTTGGGCAGAAGATTCCCGCATTGCAGGAAGTTGGACTAGATGACTCTCGTGGTCCCTTCCAGCTCGTGAGTGTTGCCCATTCTGCAGCTTGCATTAAATAAGGTCAAGGCAATCTCCTCGCTGTCTCCAAGCGTTGCCATGAGTTCCTTGGATAATCATTCCTACCTTCTACGACAGTGGTACCTCAGGTTAAGTACTTAATTTGTTCCAGAGGTCCGTTCTTAACCTGAAACTGTTCTTAACCTGAAGCACCACTTTAGCTAATTGGGGCCTCCTGCTGCCGCCGTGCCGCCGGAGCACGATTTCTGTTCTCATCCTGAAGCAAAGTTCTTAACCTGAGGTACTATTTCTGGGTTAGCGGAGTCTGTAACCTGAAGCGTATGTAACCCGAGGTACCACTGTATGTGCTGATACCAACCAGGCTCCATACTCCCACAAAGCCAGGGCGGTGGAGAGACTTTCTTGTTCCTTCAGCCTGTCATTATGTTATTTATTTCCATTCATTAAAACAAACAAAGCACCCAGCCTTGTTGCTCTGGGCATCTGCCACGAAAATGAACTTTCGCAATCCGGCACTGCTAAGCCCACTCTGGCACAAACTGGGAAAACACACACAGAGGCACTAAAACAACATCGGCTCAATCAAAGGCACCCAGGAGGAGACCGGAGATCCTGGAAGCTTTTCCCTTCACTCTCTCCTGCGTTTACGAAGATATCTGCTGGAAGGAGAAGCAGCCGCAGGGCAGCACCACCCCATGAACTGGTTGTAAGTTAGAAGACAGGCAGATGGGGGCTGTCTGAGAGCAGACTGTTGTTGGTGGGACAGAGCCCCATTAGCCCTAATGGACCAGCCTCCACTCCCGAGAACTATAGTTTACCCCTCACGCAGGCACAATTCTCAGCACCCTTAAACTACAGTTCCCATAATTCATGATTGTGTGCTTTAAATTCTATCCCCTAACTGGGAACTATAACATGGAGGTGGATGGGAACAAAACTAGAATTGGTTGGGTCTGCCAGATTTGGCTCTGGCGCCACCTGCTGTTGATCTCCCTGCATTCCGCCCTACCAGTCACAACAGCCGCCACTGGAAGATTGTTCTCTTGCAGTGAAGGCTTCCCACCTAAGGGAAAGATATTTAGAATCCATTTCAGCCAAGTGTGGTGGAGATTCTCAGGGTATAAATTCATTCTCATGAATTCCCCCAATTTATTTATGTTTGTTTATTAGTTTGGTTTTACAATTTTTATTAAAATGAAATACTTCTTTTTTGGTAATTGTTTTTATTTTTTATTTTCTGGTATACACAAAGCAATAGCAACAACAATTAAGAGAAAAGATCAAAGGAAGAAACGAAAGGAAGGATGTGAGGAGAGAGGACGGAGTGGTAGCATTCAAAGAACAGCATTATACAGTGGTACCTCGGGTTAAGAACTTAATTCGTTCTGGAGGTCTGTTCTTAACCTGAAACTGTTCTTAACCTGAAGCACCACTTTAGCTAATGGAGCCTCCTGCTGCTGCCGCGCCACCAGAGCACGATTTCTGTTCTCATCCTGAAGCAAAGTTCTTAACCCGAAGTAATATTTCTGGGTTAGCGGAGTCTGTAACCTGAAGCGTATGTAACCTGAAGCATATGTAACCCGAGGTACCACTGTAGTTCTAGACAATTGTCCCTCAAAATCCTATTATCCAATGTTGTTTCACCATAGGAATCCATGAGAAGGGGGTGCGTGGCAATCATATTCCTTAACTTTAATGTATTCAATAAATGGATGCCAAACTTCAGAAAAGTTGTCCCTTTTTCAGATTGCATAGGGTTTGGGTGTGTTGTTAAATTTCCCATTAAAGCGTTGGTCCATACCTAGAGAGATCAATAGTCTTGCTAATCTCCAGCCACAGGCTTCCAGTAGTTGGCAAAATAAAACATTTCTTGAGTATACTTTTGATTAAATATCTTTTTATTTTGTTCCTTAATATTGTCAATGGACTAGCTCAATAAAGTAGATGCTACTCTAAAAAATAATTAAGTTTGAAATGTCCAGGAGTATTACAATGGTATTTACTTTACTTGGCAATGAAAAGATCAACATGTAGATACCAAGGTAAAGTTAAAGGGACCCCTGACCATTAGGTCCAGTTGTGACCAACTCTGAGGTTGCGGCACTCATCTCACTTTATTGGCCGAGGGAGCCGGCGTACAGCTTCCGGGTCATGTGGCCAGCATGACTAAGCCGCTTCTGGCGAACCAGAGCAGCACACGGAAACGCCGTTTACCTTCCCGCCAGAGTGGTACCTATTTATCTACTTGCACTTTGACGTGCTTTTGAACTGCTAGGTTGGCAGGAGCAGGGACCAAGCAACAGAAGCTCACCCTGTCGCAGGGATTCGAACCGCCGACCTTCTGATCGGCAAGTCCTAGGCTCTGTGGTTTAACCCACAGCACCACCCGAGTCCCGTAGGGTAGATACCAAGCTGCCCCCCAAATCAATAAAAATCAATAAACAAAGCAAACTGAGGTCCCCCCCCCCAAAAAAAGGCCTCCCCCCCAAATCCTGGCTACGCCCATGCCTAAGGCCATCACTGTATCAAATGGCAGTAAATTCTGGACATCAACGCCACCTTGTGAGCTTTTCCTAACCCTTTCGGTCTGCTCTGCATGTGCGACTATTCTCTAATGAGAACTTGCAGGAGCTTAACCAGGCCTCACTAACTGTCTTTAGGTCTGCTGGGTCACAAGTATCCCAGACCTTGAGTTTTCAGGGCCCAATCCTGATGTCACGGACGCAGAGGAATGGTGAGAGGAACCAGCTGGGGAACCCCCAAGAGAAGTCTGGCTCAGAGCTCAGGGATTGATGGTGGGACAACCATGAGGGGTCAGAGGGAGAAGACTAGGAAGCGGAGGTGTCGGAAACTGAGGAGTTAACAGGGTTTAGTGAGAAGGGAGAGTCTGCAGCAGGGAGTTTAGTGTACCTCACTCTTCTGGCACAGCTGAGATCATTGTTGCTGTTTCAAGGCCAGCCTGCAGCATTGCCGGAAACTCTAAAGCAGACACCTGCCTCATTAACAGATCCCCAGGGAAGTTCCTCCAGCTCCCCATGGCCCACCCAGCCTCTTCCTGCACAACAAATGATGCTCTAACAAGCCTCAGGACGCAGGGCCAGCTCCACTTGCTGCCAGTACTTCTGACAGGAATCTGCCTTCTCCTTCACGTTTCCCTCCTTTAATGTAACCCAAAGCAACAAAAGGGTAGACTCTACCATTTGCTAATCTCCCAGGAAAAGTAAAGTGATTTCAGAGAAATTGGGGGTTGCGCATATGAGGATGTCAAGGGCATCCGGAATAAAATCACACTAAACATAATGGAACTTGCAAGTTACAATCTTGATGGC